GAAGGTGGTATGGTAGAATCTGACGGAGACACCGAGCTTGAAAAGTATCCAGTTAGCAAATGTCGGCCTTTCCAAACCATGGAACAGTGTGTAGGGAAGACATCAGCTTGGATATGATGCACGCAAACAAAAGCTGAACTTTCTCTGCAGTGTCCAACAATGTATGTTTCCATACCCGGCATAGGGTCTGGAAGTCAGCGGTTGACAAGCCCAGCCCGCGATTAAGTTCGGCAGTATATTCGCCGGAAGCATGCAGCAGGCCCCCCAAGTAAACCATGGATGCCCGAATGCGGATGGGGGAACCGTCCGGTTTCGGATGTATGGTTCAGAATGGATAGGCAAGATGTCTACCTTTTTTTCCCCCGCACCTGTTACGACTGCGCAAAGGAATCCGGTCCCCGTGCACGCTGCAAACTGCGGCAGGCGGCTCGGGGTGGGGGCTGCGTCGTGCAGGACGTCCCCGAGCATAGCGAGCTGAGAGCCAGGCATGGCCCCAGCGATGTACGGCGTGCCGAGCAGTGTTGCAGCAAGTGTGCTTTGCAAGGCAACACTTGGGCAGGCACCACCAGCGGCGCAGCCAGCCCTGGGTAGCGGCACCGCGCAGGGCAGCAGGAGCGCGCTGGGCGCGAAGCCGCACCAGTCGCGTGACCAGGCGGTGCGATGCAGATAGACCGTATTGCGACCTGCATCGTTCAATGTGACGAATATATGTTGCAGCGAGATCCGAATCCAGTTCTACCAGAAACGTGTCGTCGGCATACATCAATTCATTGACGATGGCTTTCGGATTATGGTTGGTCATTGCGTGTTTGATGGCATACGACGTGTCTGCGATCAGCACCGTCATCACCATCGAGAATAAAAGCGGCGACAATGGGCAACCTTGTGATATACCCAATTCTTGGTGATGTTTGCTTTATGTGCACCCACAATCCCAAACTGTAGTCTGTCGCTGTAAATGGACATAACAACGACCAAGAATCTTCAAGAAGTCTGCGTGCAACAAATATTGCATCCGAACTCGCCGCCTCTGCGAATGGAAACCGGACTGACTTGAGGATAAACGCGATTCAGCTCCGGCATCTTGTTTTTGTTGAAACGGACTTTCCGAGCTGCCCAACGAAAAAGCTTCTAGCCGCGGTCGCAGCTAACTAGTCTACCTGAGGCTACGCACTGCGCTACTCGCGTCAGGGCCGCAACGGCAGGCGACTCTGGCCGGCGGGGGCTTCGTGGTGGAGCAGGGTGTCCAGCGGCGGGCCTTCACAGGCTTCTGGTTGCAGTGGCTGCTCCCAAACGCCCAATACCGTGCTAGCGACGGCCTGCTGCACGGAGTGTGGGCGGGGCCCGGTGAGCTGCGAAAAACTTATACCCAGCAGTGATGAGGGAGATGGGCCTGTAATTTTCACACGAAAGAGGGTCGCCCTTACATAGCACGGATTGTGGTTCGTGCCAAGCTTCAGGAACATGTCCGGTAGTCCACACACACTTGCAAAGTTCAACGACATGTTTGCGAGCAGGAGCATGTTCTGAAGAAACTGCTTTCCAGAACTCCGCGGGCACCCCGTCAACACCGGAAGCTTTATTTCGCTTCAGTTGTTTGCCAGCACGAGCGAAATCACCAGAAGAAAAGCCACCCTCATCAACTGGAAGTAGGTCCCCCAAAAGCACGTGTCGAGCGGCACAAGCAACTGGTCGAACAGCCCATTGAACCTTCTTGAAGTAATCCGCCAATGTGCCTGTGCCGGCGAGGGAAACACCAAGAAGAGTGGCACCGAAAGCTCTGGCGGCAGAGATTGAAACATTGGGGTGGTCGCATACCGCAATGGACGAGGCGCGAGGAGGCGGACGAACTGGGCAGCCTCGGGATTCCAGCGGCCGCCAACTCCACGATTAGGATATCAAGCCGGCACTTCTGCGAGCGTTGCGGCTCGGTGCAGGCGCGGTAGGTGTGACCCCAGCAAGTCCCAGGAGTGAGAGTGAGAGAGGGTGAGGGAGAGCGAGTGAGAGTGAGAGGGAGTGAGAGTGAGGGGGAGAGTGAGAGTGAGAGTGAGAGTGAAAGTGAGAGTGAGAGCGAGAGTGAGAGTGAGTGCGTGGGTGTGGTGTGCGAAGGATCAAAACTCATTGTGCATGCACTCACGGAACTGCGTGTGGCTGGCATGCAAAGATTAGAGCAAAAGAGTTCGCTTCGCTCAACTTGTAATGAACGGCATGTGGTGAAGTGAAGCATGAAGAGTGCGAAGAGCACGAAATATTTTGCTTGTTCTTCTGCTTTCCTCAACAGCTAATTTCGGGTTCCGTTCTCTGTTTCATTCCGTTTAATTCACGCACTTCGTTTGTAATTAAGCGGCATGGAAACAGGAACGAAAAGGGAAGATAATTATGAGGAGGAAACACTGAGGATTGGAACAGTACCGAAAATTAGGTCAATCTCCAGCCCTCTTGTTTTTCCTTCTTTTTCGTTCGTATTTCGTTTGCTTTGTTTGCGTTGTGTTTCTAATTCCAGCTCCTCCTTTCCTCACCCTACAGCCGCCAAGTGAAGTGAGTCTTTTGTTTAATATTAAATGAAAGAAAACAACTGGAGAGAAGAATGAACGTAGCGCGTGTTTCTTTTATTTAATTTGAACAAAACACGAACCCAACACGCTACACCAGTTCCACCTTCATCCTTCCCACACGGTTCATTCCATCCAAATCCAGGTGTTCGCTTGGGATAATGGGTGTTGAGTCTAAATAAAAAGAAAACAAACGAGCGAAGAGATGTGCGTGTTTCTTTAAAAGGTGCCGCGGTCACACAAGAAGAGGAGCGGCGGGCCTATCAGGCATTTTCAGGCATGCTGGCGGAGGACTTGAAAATCCTGCATGCTGCAGGATTCCGAAGCGGGGGAGTTGCTCGCGGACGTAGGCACGCAGCTGGCGCGCGCCCTTGCATGCGCGCTGGCCATGCACTGGGCTGACGTGTTCGACAACGCCACGCGGCCGTACCAGCTTGCACTGATGCTGCGCAGCTTCTCTGAACGGACGCAGCGCCTACGGCGCCTACGACCCCATGTCGCGGTTAGCCTGTCCAAACTGCAGGACGTTGCCCCGGAGCTTCTCCTCGTCGTCTGCACCAACCCGCGGCTTACACGGTGGGACGACACCGGACGCCACAGGGAAGTCCAGCAAGGCGAGGGCTGGGAGCAGGGCTACGTTCTTTGTATGCGCTAGGGCAGCAGGACCGCGCGGCATCTTCCCTGCACCCACAGAATACGTTGCTGGCCTTCTGGACGATCGCTACATCGTGACGAAGCTCGATCGCGCGCGCCGTGAAGGACCACTGTGGCCTAGCACCCAACCTGGGCAAAACGCACGTCCTCGCCGCGGAAGTTGGCCCACCGCCGCGGATCGCGGAGCGGGGGAAGTGTGGCGTGGGGACAAACCGCCGAGGAGTCGTGGTCCTCGGCACGCCAGTGGGCCCGACTTCGTCGTCCAGGCGTGCACCGCGGCAAGCGCCTGCGCGAGGAGCACCAGCTGCACCGCACGCAGATGCAGGGCAGGCTTATATATACCGGCCATATCCGGCCATCTGCGGCGGTTTCATGGATGGCCCCGCTGCCGGTCATTTGCTCCCGCCTCCCGCAGTCCGCAGGGGCAGCCAGAAAAGACCGACGCAGTCAAGGAGAAGCTTCGAGCTGTGCAGCGATAAACTCCGATCTGCCAATGATCTTTTTCAGATGCATCAACGCTATGTCGGGCCGATTCATACCGCCAACTTTTCGCTCTCCAAACGTCCGGGCATACTGTATGTTCATGTCTTGCTGGCGATGCTGGTGAACACGTGCTTGAGGGCTGCAGTCCCCCCGATCTGTTAACATCACGCTCTGACCTGCGATGCGACATGGTGTAGGGTGGTTTCGAACCCAAAACAAGACATACAAGACACAATGAAACGCCAAAAGCCGGTCTGACATGTTTTTATCCGTGGAGCCGCGAGGCTCTGGCACAAGCCAAGTATGTTGAAGGCCTCCAGGGCCCGATACATGTATTCCATGCCTAGCCTCCTCAATCCGTACTACGCCTGTGGGCCCGGACCCGGATATCGAGGGCTACAGCACAAGTTCGAAAACATGCCATGTCCGCTTGTGGACTATTCAAGCGTACGCTGATAGCCCGTGCAACGCGACAAAAAGGCAAAGGAAGAATGAAGCAGGAGTGGATGCAGACTTGTTCTCCTCGCAGCGTCCAACCATCATCCCGAGCAGAACTTCGGGCATGCGATGTTCACGCTAGTGGCGTTCATGGCGGGAACACAGCTACAACCGGGCGGCTTCCAGGTCAGCGCCTATCTCCGGGCACGGGTTTGGAGTTCCTGATTCGGGTAACCAGCTCGGTGCAGGACAAGCAACGCCTTCCTCGAGGCACGGCACAGTAGAACCACCAACTTGAACGTCGGGAAGTCTTAACAGGCGGCCGCGCAGTCTACTGTAAAAGAGTGTCCAGCTGGGGACTCTCAACCTGGACGGCTGCCAATGCAGTCGACAACCCCTGCATATCTCGCAAGGGATCCAAAGGAAAACAGATGGCGGTACACAACAACCTGTTGTTGGCGCCCGCAACTGTGCGGCAGGGAGGCGGCCGCTGGCAGCAATGTCCTCCTCCCAACACGTGTCAGCGAGGATCTCGCCTCAAAATTCAGTGGCCGAGGGGAGCTCCGCGGAGGCAACTATGCCCGAACAGCTGCGGCCGCCAGGACCTGTGTGCGCTCCCATTGACGACTGAGGGGCGCAGGTCAACGTCTTCGGCACGTTGCGTGCAAGAGAACGGAGTTGCGCGGTGGTCATGCCATGGGTCAAACACGGGAGCGGCAATCTCGGATCTGACCGACAACAGTGTGTACGTATGGAAAGGGAGCTTGAGAAGTGCATGGTATTGTCATGACCATGCTTTTTGCACCGCGAAAACTGCTTGCACCTGTGCTGGTGCACACACTAAGATGAACGGGTGAGACAAAGGTGGCAGCGCTACTCCGGCGGCTCCAATCGCATCAGCCTGCGCAGGTATCACGAAGGGCCCTTGGGCACGCTACATTCGGGAGGCCTGTATTTCGCATCTGCGACTAAAGGACCAGGCTGGCGGAACCATGTTGGATCCAAGCAGATTGGCACCTCGACCCCAAAGGCAGAAGCTGGGGTGGTAAACTGACCATACGGTGTAGGCCCGACAGTCCCTGGAGTACAAGACAAAACGCATCACAGCGGAATTGGCCTCTTTGTAGCCAAGGTGGTCGGCGATGTACTCAGTCACCTGAGCACAATCGCCAAAGACACGATTCATCACTGACAGCCAGACCCTGGTGGTGCCTGATTCTCTTGCCGGCCACTCCGTACTTGCCCCGCGAAAACAATTGTCGGGCCTCGCCAGCAACGAATGGAAATGTTTTTGGGCACGGTTGATTTTCTTACGCTGCGGGTTTCTCCCCTTATGCGAAACCAAAGAGCATGATCATCATAAGGAAGTATAGAGAATTAATCCCCAGCCCAATGTTCTTTAGTGAGCCACCGCACTCAGCTAAGCTCGGGACCGGGTTGGTTGCGGCAACAGATCTCCTGGTGTGCATCTGAACATCTCAAATCAGAACATCTCGCGCGAAATTTTGAAGCTGCCTGCAGAGTTCGCAAAAACTCTTGCTGCAGTTTGCCACTCCAGACCTCGACGGCGATTCAGCACATGTCTGGCGTGGCGAGCATTGAACACGGCCCGAACCGTGAGGGGACGACATGATAAAGGACATCGCCACATAGAACTACATCAAAGGGCTGCTGCAATTCCTGCGCATGCACAGATGCTGCAAGCTGCGACATGTCTCACATTCCATCACCTTGCAAGTTGCACTTTTGTGCCCGTGTGTGCTTGCACACACGCCTTTGGCAGCGGCCTCCCCCATGTGTAGCCAACAGCACAGGCTCGTTCAACCTCGTGGAGACTGCGACACAGAGACGCCAACATGAGTCACACGACCTAACCCAAAAACAAAACTCCATGAGAATTTTCTCAAGCGCCCAACGAGAGGACACTCGGCGCAGCGATTTCTCGCCAGGTTGTCCTTGATGGTCTGAACCTGCAACCATGCCCAAAACGAACTGCACGAGTTGGACAACCACTACATACGGGAAAACCGGAAGAGCGCACATTCATCGGTAAGTCGCAAAGGACGACCTGGCATCAAATGCAAGTTGTCTTGCCATGTTGCACAAAAAAAGCTGTCGCCTCATGCCCAGCTTTGGCCAGCGCTATGCCTGCCAGACCTCCCATGCTCAAACATTCTGAGAATTCTGAGGGGAAGCAGAAAGCAGAGTTGTTTGAGCAGCTAGGCCTGTGCCACATGAAAGGTCCTTCTCAAGCCAAGCTGAAGCAGCTACAGTTTGTCATAGGTCATAGGTCGTTCCACAGAGCAGGTCCAGAACGCGTCTTGGCTGTTCCAAGCGCTGCTCCTGGGCAGCTGCGGCGTCATGTGCAGCATCATCAGACGTTTCTCCCTTGCCTCGAAATGCTTTGCGAGGAGCCATCCACCTGCCCAGGTTCTCCAGCCTGTCAGGAACCGGTTGCGGCCGTGGTACGTCACGCTTCACGCAGTCTGCGTATAGGCCAGAAGAGAACATTGTGGCAAAGCCAGGCTGCAGACCCGTGTTTGTGAGAGCCGCATCGCCCTCTGCCAGGACAACCCTTGTCCTACCGATACGGGAAGCAGAAGCAATAGCCACGAGGGCAAAGAACAAGATGATGCACGGCTTCCACAGGCGGGCTCACCCGAGCAACTCATACGCTCTTGTCGGCCGGCAAGGGGGCTCAGAAGGCTCTGCACCTAGACGGCAGGGGATGCTGCGAATCGACGCTCACAATGACTCGTGCTGAGGCAAGTGCCCTGGTCTGTGGCACCTTCGGTTCTATCCTCCGCTTGCTGCAAGGCGAAAACGGATGAGCTACATCGTCGCTGAACCATGCTTTTCTGAACCACATTGGACTCGAGCCTTTCGAACGAAGCCGCGACTCGAGCTTCAGGGGATGTCACGCTATGAGCGTCATCGCCCCGCCCAAGTGCGGGTAGCCCGCAGCGCTAACAATCACAACATGGCCAAAGCACTCTCGAAACCGGGGCCTGCCAGTAGTCTCCACTGACGCTGGCCGTACGTGGTGAGACTTCAATGTCTTTCACTGAGCTGAAGATGCCTCTTCATTCGGCAAAGCAATCCCTCGTACTATCTGGATAGTTTCTGAGGAGGCACTCGGACTCGGAAGGAGCAGAATAAACCTTTTCGGCACATGGCACAGCTGCCTTGAAGGCGAGCACTAATTCCTGACCCGGACATATTTGACCTCTCTGGCTATGGCTCAACAACCTCACTGCACGGAGGCCTGCAACTCTACAGAATCTACAGTCTTCGTATGTCCAGCATCGCGGCTACTGTAAGGGACCCCAAGGCATATTGCCACTGTCCTTGTCTCGGCTCAGTGCGCAGTAAGCTTCACCACATTCACCGCCTCAGGGATCTCCCAGAACATCCCAGCACATACGCCCGCAGGCTCGCCGCGCCTCGGGCCGCACCTTCAACTCAAGTTCTGCAAAGGCTGAGCCTCGAAAGGCATCCTCAGCTGACAGCTGGTCAAGGTTGTTCCTTGCCCATTTTGCTCGGTCCAAGCAGCATCCTGGCTCTTCTGGCTCAAAGCTCTTTCCAGCGTCCCATGCAGAACCTTGGGAGCACGGACGTCGAAAGCACTGGTGTCTCTGCCCCTCCTGTCCACAGACTGCGCACGCATCCCAATCTGAGTCCAGGCGAGATGCTGGTCGCTTGCCCGCTTGTGGGGATGGAGGGTGTGCCTAAGTGGTCTGGGAGCTGCCAGGGACAGGGAGGGACCTGTCAAGGCGAGAATGAAGATCCCACATGCTTCCAAGCTGCCGGAGGTGCAAAGTTCTCTGCACATGACGGTGATGTGGCCGGAGCTATGTTGGGGGCCAAGGCCTCCTGCATGACCTCGACAACAAACTCTGCATGCCACTCCCCACCGGAAGAAATTGTTGAAACACAAATCTCTTTTTCCTCCAACCCCACTCCTTGTTGCCCCGACACCTGCTGCTGCCAGTCCCCCTTGCCCTCCACCCCTTTTCTCTCGCACAACGTTCCTTGATTCTTTTCATCCAACACTATGCAGGTACATGCTGGGGAACCGTACCCTTGCTGCTGTCACCATCCACCCTTCAACCCTCAAAACATATATAGCTCCCTTTATCTGCCTCAACATTGGTTCTGTCAGTCCACGCAGTCCCCATTTCCGGTTTCAAGCTTCAGATTCGGTGGTGTGGGGCAGGTGGAAGCTGCGTCAGCTCTTCGATTATCGTGGTACTAGGCATGCGCACTTCTTCAGGCGGCGGTGGCGGCGGCACCGTGTCCTGCCGTCCAGCAGTACGACAATTGCAGACCGTTGGCATCATTTGGAGCAGGCTCCTGCCGTGACAGCGGCGGTCTTGGACAAGCATCGTCGTCCAGAACCGTGGGCTTTTGCCGGGTTCGCGCCTGCAGTGGGAAGCAAGCTTCAGCAAGAGCACAGTGGCATCTTTTGCGGCCGGCACCTGATCTTCGGCTGAAGAAGGAATGCGAACGACAGCCAGTGCAGGCGGGGCAGATGCTGCGGTGCCACCTCTCAGGGCTGCAGACGTGCTGTGCGACCTTCACCGTCGCTCTCTGTCGTTTCAAGCAGCTGCGGGTGGGGCAATCAAGTCATCTTTGCTCAACTGCGGTGCCTGAACGTCGCTGCCGTCTGGCCTCTCAACTCTCAACCAAGCAGACTAGAGGCAAATGGCCTGAAGACTTCTGCGTTTGAATGCGCCGCACTGAGACAATTGAGCTGCGAATTCCGGAATGCTGCAACCCTGGCACCTCAGTCTTCCTCATAAGCTGCAGTCGCTGAGCTTCTTCGTCATCCATCTGTAAGCTCCGCAAACGTTCAGCCACACTGCTCATCCGCTCCATGGTAGACCTGTGCCTTGGCACTGGTGCCCCTCAACACATCTCAGCACGTAAGGAACCGGAGTCCTGGAGCTCTGCTTCTCGAGGCCACTGCGAGTTCCACTTGCACAGCACTGGGAAAAAAAGGGATGCTTCTTCCCGGATCTGAACTTGACTGCCAAGGCGCTCTGCCCGGGCATTCTTCTGGGCCTCGGCTCGGTCGAGACTTGCAAACGTCACCGAGCTCCATGTGCTGTCTGAGGCACCGTTGTGGTCAGCGTTCGTGACTTCCGTTCACCTGTCAGCATCAATCCCTACGTGTGATGCTGCATGTTTCATTACACATTCAGCCTCTCAGCATGCTGGCACTCTAAGATCACGGATGCAGACACGTCACGGAAAGTCTTTCGCGCTGCCGAGGCGATGATGTGCTGGGTCTCTTTCGGACTGTCGAGGGTCAAAACTTCCTGATTTCAGATCATGTCCCTTCAGCAAAAGCTTGGAGAGACGCCACTTCTGCTTAGACTCTGCACCCTCCGCAGTCTTCCAGTGGCCGTCTTTGGGATCAAAGTTTGGAGTGTCTGGTCTGGCTGGAGGCAAAATCTCTTCGAGACTTGTCAGCAGCCCACTCTCCAGCTCAAAAACGTACCTCCCGGCAGCAAAACGTGTGAGCTCCTACGCGCAGAGGGGGAGTGTGCTGTGGGCGGAAAGCAAGCATACAGTACATGATTCAGATGCGCTGCTGCGCATCGATTCGCGGATCTTGCCAAGAGGACAGGCCATCCTCTGAATTGACGAAATACCTGTGTGTCCAGCACATTGCATCTGTTGCAAACAAGGGCTGATACCGCCACCGTTTCTGCAGAGTAAAATCGTTACAGCTGTCACTGGTCGACGAGACAGCCTGAGCCCTGGTGAGTTGTTCACACCAAACAACTTTTCAGAACACTCTTGTCAAGGCCCCGGACTGACGACCAGCATCGTCCATAAAGGGCCCATGCCACTTGTCCAGCTCTTGCTTGTGTTGGTGCCACAGAATGCCCTTCTGCTCCTCGAAATAGCCGGCCGTGTAGCATTTGAGATAATTGCGTCCTGCTACAGTGTTCGGGCTTGCAGGCACATCGTGGACTCAACACTCAACGATAGCACCGATCCTATCTCCACGATTCTTCGGAGGCAGGGCACCAATGGATTCTCCCAACTACTGACTTGCCTGAGGTGCACTGCAACAAACAAGGTTATTCTGAGTATTGACTTCGGGAGTCAGTTCTTTCCAAGAGGCCGGTCATGATCCACGTAGTAAACGTAGCCTGAGCACTGCAGGTTTTGAAGACAGATCTGCATCACCCTTCCAGAGACATCATGATATCGAGTTCGGTCTGACCTTGTCGTGAAGACTCTAAGCCCGTTTGGGATCATGAAGATTATCATAGGAGTACTGAGAGTGAGTGAACAACTTCTGTCTTGTCCCGGGTGGGCAAGCTGACATGCTGACTAGTGACCGGAGGAAGCGTCGCTGTGTGCCGTCCAGCGGGGTGGCAAAGGGCTTTGGATGCCAACTTCTGCAATCCACCCAAACTCTTCCTCCTGCTCATGTTGAGCAGTGTTGAACATCGGACTCAAGGCTGCAATTCAGGCCATGCCTCTTTGACGTGGATGCCCAGCTGCTGCTTGAAGGCTGCGATGGCATGACTCTCATCCTGCGTTGTCTTGGTTTGAGTACTGAATATCAAAGGACCCCAAGTCCCCAACCACGTATTTCTGAGCTTCTGGCAAGAAGGCGGCTGGCCATTGGCCATTTGCACTGAGGAAGGCATTGCTTGGGGCAGGGCCAGGACTGGTTGGGAATGAGTTGGCAGCGGCAGAATCTCCGGTGCAGAAACGCTCGCAGATCTCGAAGCTAGAAACTGCATGTCAGAGATGTGCAGGTACAGGAAACGTGGCCCGAGATTTGAGTCCTCCATTTGCAAGCACACCCCGGCGATTCGGCCCTCAAGAACACGACATCATGTCACGAGCTTCGATCGCATGGCGAGGGGACAAAGCGATCTCAAAGGAATGTAAGCTCTCCGCCGCAGCCGTAGACAAGAGGCGCACATCAGTTAAACTCTGGCCAAGGTAGTCTTAACCAGCTGGCTTTCAAGCTACCACCTCTTTGGACCACTGTCATGGCCACAAAACGGCTTTTTGCCTCATCCCACCGTGCTTCTTACAACCACGATGCACTTGAGCATCGCATGAGCTGGAGTGAGCTACGAGCGGACAAAGCTTGCACGGCAAGGAAGATTGAATTCTGCGGACACTTGGCCATCGGTCAGGCAGTCAGGCATGATAGTACATGAGAACGGGGATCGCATTGGCACTTCCTCTGTCTTACGATGAGTCGGAGATTCTCCGGGGCTCTACGCGCACCCAGCTTTTTGGTGCACGCTCTCCACTCCCAGGCTTCTCACAGCGAAGCCGACAGGCTCTAGGCACACAGCACGCACACACCACCTCGGCAAATGCATCCTTGTGGGCCCTCTCCCGCTTCTGGATTCTGGCAAAGGCAAGCGGCCAGCAGCTTTGATTTTCTCCTCCGCTTCCTTGGTGAAGTAGCGTGCCTGCGGCTGACGAAAATTCACCGCGTTCCGCTCGGCTCCGCTCGGCATGGTGCCTTGACGATGACCGGCTGCTCGGGGAGCTGGCCCTTGCCCAAGACCTTCATGTACCCGGCCTGGAGGAAGCGAACCCACGTTTAGTAGCCGGTTGCATCACTTTGGTCGCTGCCTTCATGACATCGATCACTGGAGCCTTGTCTGTCTTGTCCTGTCGTTCCACAGTGGGCTGTGGCAATCTTCGACTACCCTCTTGACTCTTGCTACACGCCGAGAAACCAGACGCTGAAGCCCTAGCGCCTTGTAGAACAACCTTGTCTGCTCCGAAACCAGCGACCACAAGCGCTCGACGTTGATGGTCGGGATGACCTGAAGCGGAAGAAACGTCCAACCACAAGGCGGCTCTGCTTCGATGACAATGGCTGAATAAACTTACTAGACCGGTACTGCCTTGCCATGCTTGATGAGGTGGAAGTTGCGCATGCCCACCTGGCATTTAGCAACAGCCGTCGTCACGCGGATTGAGGAATTGGTTTGACTCTTGCGAGGCCTTTCCGAAGTAGCCAGGATGGTACTTGTCAAAGTTGATTCGGTGATGATGCCTTGCTTCTCAGGAGGCTCGTGGCTGAAGCTGGCACAGGTGAGCAGTTGTGCCGAAGTTGTTCAATGAAGCCTGTGCGTCACACAATGAGGGCCCGGCTGACCACCCGAGTTTCCGCAGCCACCAGGATGCTTTCGGTGCTTGCCGATGCGGCCGTGACCTGACGGCAAGAAAAGTTTGATGCGTCCAGATTCCGCCGCATCAGCTGAACAACTCTGAGCCGCACCCCTCTTGCGGTGGGCATGCATCTTGCGGCTCTTCTTGAATCGGGTGGTCATCGTGCCTCACCGACAGAATTGTCCTCATTGCAATCCGCATCTCTTCGAAACACCAAGGTGCTCACCTAATCTGCTGGGGATGGACGAGTTGCTACCCTGCTTACCCTGAAATGGGCGGCATGCCGAGAAGCGGCCGAGCAAGCGTTTAGAGCAAATTGCCAGCACAAATCAGAGTGATCACCATCTACATGGGGCCGACGATTGTAATCGCTTGGTTGCCTTGTGGCGCTGTGGTAGTCGGACGCCTTGTTCTACATCAAGCAGCTGGCGAAATCCGATACCAGTTACTACTTATCTCTCTCGCTCTTTTGCTTGCTCTCTCCTCGACCCCCGCGCTTTAGGCGTGCCCCCATGTTATGGGGGCGTGTCTTGGCAAACGGTGTCTTTTCTCTCTCATTTCTTTGGCCCCAGGTGGAGGTACGCCCTTTGTTGGCCCAGGTGCATGCTTGTTCGTACGGAGCGACTGAACCACTCACTCTCTCTTCTTCAGCTCCAGGGAATATGGAACGTTCCCGCCCGGCGCATTGGGGGAGAGTGGCCCCTGCGCGCGAGCGCTACGCCACTGTCCGAGTCTTGTGTGAGACGTGTAGTTGGTGCTCGGCTAGGTTCGTTCCCCCGACACACCACTCTCCCTCTCTCTCTCTCTCTTTCTTTCGACAGGGCTACGGTGCAGGGGCTTTACCCCTCTCTCTCCCTCTCTGTTGCTTGCATGCGGACAAGGAGAGTGCAGGCACCCTGGTTCGTGTCCGGTTGAGCTCACGATTCGATTTCGCTCTCTCTTTTTCTGTGCCAAACAAACCCTTTTCAAAGCTGACAGGATCTGGTACAGGTCTCTCCATCTCTGCCCGAAGTGACTTTTGAAAATCTGCTGCGCGTGAGAACACCAGGTTGAAGGACATGCTCAGCGAGCAGTCACGGAAAGTGATTGCCATGACCAAGGAAGAGTCTCATCCCCAAAGTGTGCAAGCAAACCCATTGGGTAGCAAAACCCCGGTACGCGGATTGATCACCTGTGCAATAGCTTCAGGTTCAAGCTCCAATCGCATGGCCAGCCGGATGCTGGCATTACTAATTTGTGTGAAAAAGCGCCAAAGAAACGCGCAAACGCGAAAAACACGAGAACGCTAAAAACACGAAAAAACGCTAAAAACAAACGCAAAAAGCGCGACTTTTTGCGCGCTGAACGCCGACTCCGCTTGTACATGACGAGCAAAATGCTCGCTTAGTCGGGGGCTACCTCTTTGCTTAAGCCGCAAAGCATGCGGGCTTTTATATATACACCCGAGGTCCCGAGCCCATGATGGATGAATTCCATACCCTTGCGTGCCACTGCACACTCACAACGGTCGAAGTTTGTGTGCTCACTCGGTTCGCATGGTGTGCTACTGTATGGAATGTGCCACAGCAGTGCTTTCAGTTATGTTGCCACTTGTGGGTATGTCTCGCAAGCCAGCTAGTGGAAAGAAGATGCCCGTTGATGTGTTAGCACCGTGCGCCAGTACAAGTTAACAGCACGCCCAAGGGCCTCACTGGTTGATGCAGCACCTCTATATCGGGCAGCACCGTCAATCCCTCCGTGTTTCTGCAAAACCGAGACAGCTAGGTTTCCGCTTTGGGAGAGTTGCTCGGCATTGGTTTCTGATCTGCGAGCAGAGCGATTTCCTGCGCAAGAACCCAATGCGCCGGTGCATCTGATGACATCAACTGCGCAACCTCCGTATCGAGTCTAGCTGGAATGGTCTAGGAATGCAGTTGCCACGGACTGGCAAAAACTGACTCCCACCAAAACATGCAAACAAGCACATCATCCACAGTGTCAGAGTTTGATTTCCGCACGAATTTCCATGTGTATCAAGAGTAAGGCTGAGTAAGGCCACCTCCTGGCTGAGACCCCCAAGTGCCGTCGGTGCCCTTGTGTGCTCCGCCTTGAGTTCGCCTGCGCTCTGGATGTCCAGGGCATTTGTTCTAACCCGCCGTCGTCCCAACATCTTGCCTGTCCCTGAGCCTCGCGAGCTTCCATCTCGATTAAGACTTGCTTCCCCTTCTGAGCTTTGCAAGATGGTGCAGAACACGCTCGCCGGCTTTCGCTCGTAGCATCTCCGACTTGCAACGCCACGTGACGAGCTTTTCCTCCTCCCCAACAACAGAGAAACCCTAAACCCTAAACTGCTGCAGTGCCTTTGCTGGCTACGGCCGCATGCAAAGTAGGAGCCTGAGCCTTTGATTGTTTGTAGCCGCAGTGCGAAACAGCGCGAGACGTGTCATTTTTCCCGAAAAAAATCGTGCACGGATCTCGCAGCCGTCTAGAACAATTCCAAGCTCGAGCCATGGCATTCTCATCCGAATGGGTCAAAGGGGATCGCAGAGCATCGTCGAGCCTCGCTTCAACTGAAGTGCAACTTGGGGAACGATTTCGTCTCGTTCGACGGTGAACGCTTCGTTCGGAAGGCTTCCTATGTCGACGACTTCGGGCATCCGCCAGGCTAGAGGCACGCCTGCACAGGGGCAGCAGGGGCAGAGGCAAGCGCAGAAGCAGGGGCAAGGGAGGGAGGGGCAGGGCAGGCGCAAAGCGACTTACAGATGTGCAGCACACAAGACTGATGCTTGGTAAGGGATGGATTTTTCTGTCTCGGCATGGACATATTTGTGCTGAAGAAGGGCAGGCTTCCGCCACTTTGGGCGCACCTTGCTCCTGTTTGCGTTAACTACCAGTCCGTGCAAAGGCGAGATGCCACCTGGCACGGCTGTTCCATTGCATTTACTGCGCACACGCCACGAATCGTTGAGTTCAACATACAAACTGCTCAGGGATGAAAAAATGTCTTCTCAGAAGCTGCCTATCGATATCTACTGTGGACTGAAACTACGACTGCATGCCAGGTCTTGACGTCTGTGTGCGTGACATGCAGCATCCAGGCGTCAAACAAAGCTTGCGGCGCACGAATTGCTCCTTGGATGTCTCTGGCATGTAGAGACATTGACGCGAAGACGCCGGTTAACACAAGCTAGCGCAGATGATCTGGTCTGGTCGCGAAGTACCGGTAGCTTGCACTAGTGCCTGAAGCCAGCGCTTATCGGTTCTTTGACACTGGCATTGCACCAGGCGGAGACCATGGAGATCATCATTCTTTGGCGCTTCAGCAATGCTTGGCTCACGGTCGGACATACGGTTGAGCAACGAAGCGCATTCTGACATTCCTGAGGAGAGGTGGAGATCCAGGACAGCTCAAGAGCTTTCTGCAGACTGAGAGCAGAGCTTTGGAGACACCATGCCGTTTGCTGGCATGCCGTGAAGATTGTATGACACCACAGATCCGGGAACGTGTGCCACCTAAGCATATCGCCCTAAGGCTCCTAAAGGTTGACAGTCGCTTGAGACGGCCGGGTCTGAGGGGATTGCCAGTGGACTCCTTTGGGCGCTTGGGGAGGAGCATCGCCTGCATCAAAGCTTCAGCCAGGCTTGAGAGTCATAAGCCGATTTTGGTCCATGATATCTATGGCATCTATGGGTCTGGGCCTGCTCCTCGCCGAAGTCAAAGAGTACGCGATTCTGAACAGGCTTTCGGCTGAAGCGCTCCAGCGAAAGCCCCACCACATCTGGAAACTGAGACTGTGATTAAGCTTAGGGTGGCCACGGCCTCTGGCAAGATGCATCACCTGAATGCAGCAAGAAAGGTGCTGTAAGGTGCTGTGCAGCCCTTTCGCAGGTGGTGCAGAAACAAGTCTCCACCTCGATCCCTCTTTGCAGCCCGGCAACGCGATAGCCAAGCTGCCCTGCTTGTTGGCTCGGAAAGGACGTGCCTCAGAATCGCTTGCTGTCACGGAACTGCTCAGTGGGAGTGGTGGGAGCGGTGCTGCATGGGCTGTGATGGCCCTCGCCACGCTTGCACTACCTCGGCAGACGAGGAAAGGAACCTCGAAGGAGTCTACGCCTTATCTCGTCTACAACACCGAGCGTCACACACATGGCCGAACTGTGACGGGCGCGGGCATCGAGTACCGCCGCTGTGTCTGCCAACGGAGCTCAGAGGACCAATAATTGCGTGTGTCTTCCAGTCACTCAGGCTGCAGTCACTACAGTGTCACTACAGTCATATCGGAGCGCGTGTTTCGAACCTCACACCTACATGTGGGCTCCCTCCGATCCTGCCTTTTTATATAGAAGTACAACTTACAACTGCATCGAGGCCCAGCTCTGTCCGAGGTCTAGCTGTGCACCCTCCCAACATCTCCAGTTTCCACGACACCTCTCCAACTGCTGGTGAAATCTATCAGTTGGGCGGTACTGTATCGCCCACGGCAACGTGGCAGGCTTGCCGGAAGCGCTGAGTCTCGAAGCTGCGAGGCCGCCATGCCTCGGAGGGTAACACGGGCTTCAGCCGTGGTGACTGCACTACGTCACTACGGATGCTGAGAGCCCGTCGCCTCGTGGCCTCCTGCCATCTTCGCCAAAGGACGACAAACGCAGCAAGAGCCATGACTGCGCCATGGCTGGGGGGCGCAGCGCCCGCCTGGGTGCCTTGGGTGCCCTGGGCAGTCTGTGCTTGACCGGCCCGAGTCTCGAGGCGCTCCAACCTGCGCGATCGTGCGCGCGCGCGCCAAGCGGAGACCCGTGCCGTGACCCGTCGACGCGCCAAGCGGCGCACTCTCTCTTTCACAGCATATTTGAATCTCGCATGGAAATGCGCCTGCTCTTCATTTCGGCGCAGTCCTCTCGAAGCTTGGTCAGCACCTGTTAGCTCCGAGCATCACGCCCCAGCCACGGTTTCGTTCACTGCAGGCCTCCATCGGCACTGCTCTGGCGCCTCAAGGCTGCCCGGCTCCCCATCTCACAGGCGCACTGCCGTCAAGCCGGAAGCGCAGAGACGCTTTGCGCCGCTGTCACAGCTCCGTCATAAGACGGCGCTCTGCGCGAGTTGAACACCGGGCTCTTGAGAACTTGGCGTGCGGCTGGCAGCAGTTCGCTTCAGCTCAGCCACCGTGTCCTTCGCTGTGAGCAAATGTGTTGATATGTGTTGCGCCTGCCTTGCGGCGAGAGAATCTCCTGCAAGGCGAAGACGGTGTCGCCAATGTTTTGGGACAGGCTGCGAGCCCTGGAAGACATGTTACAAGCACCTCGGCTTTCCTGAGGCTTGCTCTGCAGTCACTGGAATTGGCCTTTGAAGTGAAGACAATATGCTGCAGTCCTCACTGGTGTTTGGAATTGCAAAGATCGCAGCCTTTCAACCAGGCACTCCTCGGGAGAGGCCGGGCTCGAGATGCTGGCCTCTGCAGATGAAGCGCGTAGGAACCGCCCGGTGCGGTGCAGGTGTCCGACCTCGTTGTGCAGCTCTATCTTTGTAGTCGATCCTGCATCATCCTGATTTGCACTGCACATGGCTAGGTACGGTGGAATGGCAGCTCGTTGACAAGTGTTGAAGCCGTCATCTTGCGGGATGCCCACGAAAGCTAGGGAGGGCAAGCAAAGGAAGCAGACGTTTTTACATGCATGCCAGGATGGCCGCAAGCACATGTGCACTGCCATGAAGCTTGAATCCTACGAGATGATACAGTAGCAGCACGAGTAGCCTTCTTTTGCATTACACTGACCCACATACAGATACCTTGACCGACCTCTTTGCGCTTCGGAATGTTTCTGCACAAGCAATAACTCGGCCATCTACGAGCAGCTTCGGACTGTCCTGCTGGTACTTTAGCTGATTACTCAGGCATCGGACTTGAACCTGCCGCGTAGACGCACTCGGCCGGGTAAAGACAAAATCGCTGTGTTGTTATCCAGATGGACCTTGAGGGCCTGACCTTGTACAATACCGGGCTCCGGGCTCCGAGAAGTCGACCGGGCGGAGTTTTTGGCACAAGAGAAGACAAAATGGATGGTGCCGACATGCGTTGACTCGTGCAAGAGGGTCGCTGGAGACGACGCCAGCTTCGAGTTCGACCTCGGGGAGACGATCCACCTGCAGACCGGTCACCTCGTGGTGGCGACGGGGTGGTCTACCCACGGTGATAAGGTCCTGGACACAATTTTGCCTGGGTCACTACCACTTAGGCGAATTGGTATACGACAACCCCCGCAAGCTCCACAAAGCTAGTCTTTCGCGACATCTTTCACCCGTGCGGTTCCATCTGTCAGCGATTGCACGGAATGACCTGCCAGACTGTCACCCTGGCTCAAAGCAATTTAGACTTCCGTGGCAAATGTAGATGTATCAGATAGGTTCGTAGATTGGGCCCATTTTCCGATACTCATGCTCAGGGCGGGAGCTCCAAATCGTCTTGCTCTGTCAAAGTGGTGATCTGGGTGCAGAACTCGGCTTTCAGCTCCGCTCTGCCCCTCCTCCACATCCAGAACCTTGCTCCCTGCTGCCTTCCAGCCAAGTGGCAACAAGCCCTCTCCATGCAAGCCCTCCTTCAAGGCTGTCCACCCACTGAGCTCTGTGCACTGCGCGTGGGAAGCGGAGCCCTGAACAGGTCCTGCAAGAAAAGCAGACAGCAAAATCGCGCCACACCAACGGGCTCGCCACTTGTAAAGTCCCGCATGCGCTTCACCTCCGAGCGAAAATCCGACACCTCAGCTCCAGGTGGATGTCGCGTGAATCATAACATGTGACTCACCTGAGACCTTCGTTTGAGGCCTCCAGGGCTTTCACCTCTAAGATAAGCCGTAACTGCATGCCCAATGATCCCGGGCACGTGCTTGCATAGCATCAACGGCACAATCGGCGTGGAGAGTCTTGGAGAGCCCTCAAATCAAAAGAGTCGCGACTATTGCGCTGTCTTGCTGCTTATGAAGTGTTGTCGATGGAAGTGCCAGGAAGAAGAGTGGACTCGCAGAGCATGGACGTGCAGCTTGAGGCCTTCCTGTGTGTCATGGAGAATGTGGGATCTGTGGGGCGGCTTGCATGCGGCACGTCTCGAGGGGTTCCGGCAGGGCCTCACTCTGAACCGCATCACAACCTTCACATGGCTTGAGCGGCACACCGGCCAAACCGTCACGGCATCTTCCGTCACCTACCGGTATTGCACATGTGCGAGTTTTGCACTTCAGACAATCCGCTCTGAAGAACTGTGCAACACGAACAAAGCCAGGCCTGTGACCGGTGGCGCAAGCGTATAAGAGGCTCCTGCATCAAGCCGTGCAGCATCACACCATGCCGCTTCTCAGCCACGATGGCAAACTTGCTCAGTGCTCCTTCGTTGCACCCGAAACTGCCGTTGAAGGCGGCAAGGAATCCACCACCTGAAGCTTGCACCCAGTGATACAGTACAGAGTCTGAGGGCACAACATCGACAGTGCTGGTTCGACTGCTTTGCTCAAGTCCCAGCATGCTTTCAACAAGCCTAACAGCCGAACTGAACCACACTATGAAGTCTATGAAGTAAGGACATAGATGGACACAGGATTTGACGTTTGCGCGAGACAGGCAGGCCCTGCCTCGAAAAACTTGGACTCTTGGGATGCAATCTGCAGGTGATCCAGCTCCTGTGCCAATCCAAGGTACTCGGGCATGTACTTCAGAGGCAACTACTTGGGATTCCTTTGCAAGCTCGTTTGCTTCGTCGATGAGGCTCGCCATTGGCCTCGGAGCTTGATGCTGCTGGATACAGCGCATAGCTGTACATCCCGTCCGTCCTGGTTGCGGGATCTTTCCGGACCTGACCAAGATGCAGCGACACAGCTCAGAGCTCACGTGCTTCACAGCAGGAGCACCTCCGGGCACATCTCCGAGCGCTCGTCGGTCACGACCAATAGTTCGTGTGCCTTCATGAAACGTTGTCACTTTTCAGCCATTTTAAGCCTTCCGCACCGGACGCGGCACCTAACACATCCTGTCTTCAAATTGCCAGAGGTACCCAGCCCAGCTGCACGCGATCACCATTGGTCAGTGGCTCCTGCATGTCGATGGCCAGATCTTCGGAGTACAGCCGATGATTCAGGGCATGAAATGACCGTGAGCATCACCATGGTCCAATGGCCAGAATAGGCAAGGATCTCTACTTTTGTCCATGTGACAACGTGCGAGAAGCCAATCTCGCCGTTCGATTGGTGTCAAGACCAAGCTCAATGCTCCGGCAGACCCGATGCGGCTCCGGTGAGGTACCATCCAGCATCTTATCGTTCAGGCACAAACGGTACCTGCCCAGAATGCCGGCCACTTTGACAAACTCGGACTGTGAAGCGCTCTAGGAGCCTGCCGGGTGCCAAGTGCTTCAGCCAGAGCCCACCTCCAGTGTCCTGACCCGCCCAGGACAGGGAGAGCATTGTGCACAGCTACAATTCGGAGACTCGGAGGCCCACGAAGATCTCGCAGTGTTCTGGAGCGATTCCCAGGCCCTGGCACGCGAGGCTTGGCATGGCCTGTACTGGACTGTGAACTGGCAGCTGGCAGCTTTGTCACCTGCATTGAGAGGCCCTGCGTGGAGCCGAGGATTCGGGAACCGTACGGGTACACTGCATATGCCTTGTCGGTTTACAGCCCAGATCTTCAGTTTTTCTCAAGAAGCCGTCTCAGGAAGTGGCAAGGCAACCCGTAAGCATGGGGTCGCTGTGAAGACGGGGAAGATATGCAGCTGCTGAAGCCAAGTCCTGGTCGTGGCAGCCAGGTGCTGAGAATGCCTTTAAGCAGCCTTCCCGGCTCGCCTCATCGGACGCAAAGCCCCAGGCTCTTAAGGACTGCATCTGCGCCTGCACAGAGCGCTAGTGTTGGAGTGGCTCCGAATGCATCGGGTAGTTTCATGCGAAGCCCTCTGCTGAGGAGCTTGGAACCGTTACTGTACCTTCTCCGCGAGGGGATTCGACCGTCACGGATGCTTGCGTTGCGGACCATGCATGGGATGGATCAGATGGATGCAGAAGTCAAGGGTGTGCTGGTTAAACTCCTGTGGTTGGCAGTGCAGTTCGACACTCCCGAAGAGGAATCCGGCACTGTCGCATCTCTGTGCATCTGGCGCAGCAACGGCAAAAAAAGACGATGAGAGAAGAGCGTGAGAGATGCACGAAGACTGCATGGACAAAACCGCGGAGCCCATCAGAGTCTCGCCTGCAGAAGGGCCTTTGTGCCTGCGGCTTGCTCCTGCATGCAAGATGCAGGGATCAGTTCACCGAGCCGGAAAACCGACGTTGCTGACTCCTTGAGTGGAGCCGTCCAAGCGAAGCGCCTTGCAATCATGCACAGCTGCCGCTCGTGGCCATGTTGCTGGCCCTGCTTTAAGCGTCGGGCTCAGCCAAAACACGCTGAAGGGTAGCAAGCCGTGCCTCCTAAACGGGATTGCGCGGTCTGCGAGTGCTCTGAAAGCATTCAGCTATATTCAGTTAATGGCACCTTCAAGGCAATCTCTGGCCCAAACCTTGCCAACGGCTATCACTTCACTTGCTCTCTACCTTTGCTCTACATTTCTTGGTCCAACCTGCTCCTTTGCATTGATCTTTGCAGCGCCTGCCACTTGCGTCCGAGGCGATAGCTCCAACTCTTTTGCCCTTGTAGGCCTCGATCGCCTGGTCCAAGAGAGGCGTCGAAGTGGACACACCTGAGCCTGAGTCAGTACGTGCATGTGTGAGATGTGCGATGCGGGATGATGCAAAGGTGATTCCGGGGGCCTTCCGGTCCGTTTGCATCGATCCTGGCCGCGGCCTCGACGGTGCCCTGGACCATCTCCAGGTAGCCGGCAGCCTCGACTCCCGTGTGCGACTGCGGGCACCGACTGAGCGCGGAGAGCTGGTGAGGCCTGGCCTCGCTGTAGGCCTCACCTGCCCAAAGTGGTACACAACGGTACAATCTGCAGGGCTGAGGGCTGACCTGTCCGTGCGGCCTTGCCTTGCGAAAGCGTTGCAAGGAGTAGGAGCCGCTCCCGGCAGCAAAGTGCATCCTAGCAGGATCGGACCCAAGTCCCCGTCCCCGAGCGTGAAGGGAAGCATCTAAAAGAACCTCCAGCAGCTGCGTCAAAGCACTCCGCCGAAAGAAGGCTTTTCCCAAACCTCGGGCCTCAGCACACAAATCATCACAAATCCAGACCCAGAGCTCGTGCACGAAGGTACCGAGACTTTCACACGTGCCCCACCCATAGCCAGATCTTTCAGGGCCTTTTCTCCAGCAGAATCCACGATACCTTGCACCTTGACCCCTGCAACCCCGTCCGTCCTCCGAAAGGCCAAGCAGCGACACATCCTCAACACATCCAATGTCAACGATGACGTGTCCAATGTGGTGTCGCAATTAGTGACCATTCGCACAATGCAACACGCTTCCTTGAAGCTATTGTAGCTGGCACAATCGACGAAGGATATGTGAGGCCTGCTTCTCTCATGAATGGAGGCCGCGGAGTGTTCAAATCCCATGCAGACCTCTGCTGATGAGCACTCCCTCCAGGTTCCACGGCGAGAGACAGCACCTCAAAGCCCACGTGTCTGCAAGCTGCTTATTCTAAACTTGAAGGCACAGCTCCCGACGGTGTGTGAGTATCCGTGCACCTGGGCGATAGCACACCATTGAAAAACCTCGCTATCCTTATATGACTGATAGTATGTCAGTTTGCCTGTATCACAAGGTATGCCGTACGTCGTATGCCCCTCTGTGTCATGCGAACGCCTGGGGCATCACGTACAGTACCGAACAGTGCATCACAGCGCGACCCTCGAGCGGGTGCATAAAAGAAAGACGTCCTGTGGAAGTGCTGGCAGGATTTGGCAAGGGCGCGACTAGGCATGCGGCACTCCCCAGTTTTAAGGCAATCTGCCCGCTGACCGTCTTTGCAGGGATGCTGAAGGCACATGGAGATTATTGGGAACTTCAATGGGCTGCACGGGGGTGCAGAGGACAAACTCAATGCTTGCTTCTGCTCACTTTACTCTCGCCGTAACCAAGGAATGGGTAGCCAAGGTGCTCCCAGGATTTTGGAACGTGCGGCACGCTTCTTGTTGCCGTAGTCCACTAGTTGCTGCACCTGCGAAAGCACCATTGACAGGTGTCCGAGCTCGAGTTCTGCGCGTCTCACATGTTGGGCCTCGCCGACGGACTCCACAAAGCCCTGAGTGAGTCCGAGGACATGCGCAGATGCACCAGGCATTTCGACGACCTGGCCAGCTTCGGACATGGCTTAGCTGTGATAGGCAGCATGGCGACAAAGTTACTCCTGCAAAGTCGGTACCTCGAGGTTCGCCTCCTGACACAGAGAATTTTATATGCACTGATGCTGAGGGCACGTGGAGAAGCGCCTTCGATTGTAGCGGAGGCAGCGGGGCCAAAAGGTCTGTGACCTCCTCGTTATGCACCTGCATGGTTCGAGGTGTGCAGCGTTGTATCTTCTCGAGGGACAACAAAGCAATCCAGCATGCCTCCAGGAATGAGCACCACACCTGCTTCACCCAGGTCGACATCGTATACTGTGGACGCAGAGATTGCCGAGACATGCACTCTGGCGGGCTGCCCAGTCGCAGAGAAATGGCGGAATATCTGGAGAGTCACGTGCCTCTCATGCATGGAGCTGTGCACCCACTGCACAGCACTCGCGATTTGAAGTTTGTTGGGCGCCAAGGTCCAAGGAGCTGACGGGATCAGCCCTGGATCTGCTCCTGAGAATGCTGGGCATGATCGACTCTCACCATGATAAGAGACACTCTCGGTCTTCCACCATATCCCAGCAGGGTGTGACCTCAGGAATCTGGGACATGCACTGCCAGCCGAAAATCTGAAAGCCGGTTGCGGTGTCCTCGGGAGCCAACTTTTCCCACTGGACGGTGGGCCACAAGAGATGACGGCGGCGCTCACTCCCTGCATCACCTGCTTTCAGGCTCAATGAAAACCCCCTCAGAGTCTTCTTTCCTCCTCTTTGCTGCGGCCTCTTCGACAGCCTTGGAAATGAAGTCTCTATACAGAACGGCCTCGTTGCAGCCAAGCGGGTGCAAACGCGAAAAGGACCTAACCCCCCCCTGACAGCCTGTGCGTGCTGGTCGGTAAAGACAAAGTGAGACGGAAAGATGATCCCATCGTCATCGGGCGCCTAGCAAGATGCCGCGTTGTCTGCAACGGCAATGGGCCCGTGTTCACTCAACACATCAGTTATGCGGTGCAGGAGCATCTAACTTAGGAAGCTGCATCTGAGCGAAGCTGCACCGCCGCCGGTGCCTTCACGAAATTTTTGGCTTAGTCACCGAAGCAAGACCAGCGCTGAAATACCACGAGGGCTGAATTCCTGGGTCAGCCGCCCTGAAATGGCACGTTGCTGTTCTACCTAGGCCGTGCCTCTGCCGATCTGGAGGATGCTGCTGACACTCTGACAGCATGTCCGACCTTGCTGAGTGCTCCAGCATGCCCTAGTTGGACTTATCTGGGAATCTAGGGGCCTCATCGGCGAAGAAAGGCCGAATCCTGACCGCGGCCCGGGGACTCAGCCAGCTCCTCGCCATCCGAGCGTCGGATTCGCGGCTTTCAGAACTCTCAAAGCTAAGGCCGCTAAGGCCAAGGCCGAAACGGTTCCCCATCTGGACGAAACGAAGCCATGCTAGGAACGCTCGTGTCATCTGTTTTCACAGGTGCCACACTACAATCCGAAGCTACAAAGATACCAGGGAACGCGTTTCGTGCTGGACGATCTATCTGCCCTACCTTCAACTTGTTGTGCAAGTGTTCTCAACCGCTGGGCCAGCCTGCCGGCACCACACGTTGTGTTGTGGCAACAATTTCGCACAAGCCCAATGCCTTCAAGCCCAAGCCGGGAAACCTGAAACCCAAAGTGACCAAGTTCAAAGTGTTCCACACCTGAACATGCCTGCTGCGCAAACCTGCACATGCAGCTTTAGCTTTCAGAAGCCTCAAACACGAAGCATGGCACTTGCATTTGGCATCCGAATCCGACTTTGCCATGTTTGGCCGCTCCACGCAGAAATCAAGCGCACAGCACGCAGACACCACCTGGCAGCGGGAGGCTTAAGATATACCCGTCAAGGCAGTGCAGATTGTACAGCCACGGTTGACGAGACACAACAAAGGTGCTCTTGAATTAACCAACAAGGACAGGAAATCCTTTGACCCTTGCCTCGCATCAAGCCCTTTTGGCCATAGCCAGAAGTCTTTCGCAGGCTGGGTCTTCAAAACCACGAGCCTGCAGCTTTGATCTTCTCCTCCGCCTCTTTGGTGAAGTAGCGTGCCTGCAGCTCACCGGCACCCACACCTTGCCTTCTTTTTAAACAACGGTAACTGGTGACAGCCAAGTGCACCTTCACGATCACCGGCTGCTCGGGAAGCTGGCCCTTTCCCAGCACCTTCATGTAGCCAGCCTCTCAGCACGCCAACATCGGCCCGTCACTCATGAATGTCTTCTCTTGGCAGCGATGATGCCTTCATCACGTCGATGACGGGAGCTTTGTCTGTCTTGTCCTACCGCTGCATTGCAGTTGGACGGAGCATACCGCGGAGAAGAGATAGCAGAGGCATGCAAAGGCTCACGACCTTGTAGAACAATCGTGTCTGCTCTGACACCAGGGACCACAGGCGCTCCACGTTGATGGTGGGGATGACCTCAGGCGAAACTGCAAGCCGCAAAATTTGAGAGATCTTCTGAAGACATGCTTGGCCGCTTGGCCTTGCCATGCTTGATGAGGTGGAAGTTGCGCATTCCGACCTGAGCATGAGCGGGTGCGGCGGACATGCTGTGCCCAGATTCCGCACCATCGTGGTGCCTTTCCGAAATAGCCCGGGTGGTACTTGTCGAAGTTAATACGATGGTGGTGCCTTGTGCAGCAAGGTTATTCTCCCGGCGGCCCGACAACATGAGCACTGTCAAAATCGTCCGAGCTGAGGATACTGCTGGCCACCCGAGTTTCCGCAGCCACCCGGATGCTTGCGGTGCTTGCCGATCCGCCCATGCCCTGCAGTACAGCTGTCCGCTTCATGCTCACGGCATTGCCAAAGCAGCGACATGATTCACAAGCTCTGAGCCGGACCCCTCTTGCGGTGGGCATGCATCTTGCGGCTCTTCTTGAACCGGGTCGTCATGGTGCCTCGTGTCAAGAGTAGAGCAGCCCGGTACATGGAGGCAAGTACAGGTTCCTGAGACACTGCTCCTGAGTTACCCGAGTATCCCGAGTTGTGGTGAGGCGCACCCGGCTTGTGACCGGGGTGGAAGGGATCACCCAGCTCATGTCACACCGCCATGACCGTGGAATCTGCGATGATTCAGGAAACGCCCGTTCGCCCGTGGTCGCCACCCCCCCCCCCCCGCCCACGACAGCCAAAGGTTAGTTGCTTCAAGGTGGTGGAGCCTTGTGGACCGTGCCGGCATAAAGGCATAAAATAAGGTCGGCACGTAGATCGACTGGGGCTTCCGCGATTCTTGGACGCCTTCCCTTGAGCCGACAAGCAACGGATGAACGTCTCCTCCAGATATGACTGCGATGAATGCCACAAGCCAAAGCTGCCACAGTAGTACCAGCCAGAGCTTGACATGGGCCCTCCTTCAAGTAGCCTTGCCACCCATGCTGTTGTGCTCTCTTTTCCATCCCAGGCCGCTGTCCGTGCCCAGGTCTATGATGAACTTGCTTGGAGAACACAGGAGAATTATTCCGGATCGGCCTATGTACAACCCAGGATGGATCAGGGCAGCAAGTCACGCGCAACGATCTTCCTGAGCAGAACCCCCGATGTCGCATTCCGCCATCTGCAGTCCGTCCTCGCCTGGTCTGGGCCGCCACCGCAGTGAGAGCTTCGACCTGGTGCTGAGGACCTAGGACCTAAGACATACTGAACGACCATCTGACGATGCGACCTGGCCAGAAGCCTCGTGCCACGCGGTGAGTAAAGAACAGTATGCCGCCTGGTCGCGAGAGGCGCCGACTCTCTCGGACTCTCTCCGGCTCGACACTGCGGAGTGTCTGAAGCCTTCAGATCGCGGCCGACATCCTCCTGGTCGCATGCTTTCAGCCTTGACGAGTGGCATGGGATGGATCTCTGCTGCATGTGAGCCGCCTGCTAGGGATCATGCAAACGCAGCAGAACAGCGCTGAGCTCTTGCCTGAACTTTCGGAAGGCACGAAGGGGACTTTGTAACCGGATCCTTCCCTCCCGCCTGACGTACATGAGGCAGGCTCCTGTCAGGGACTTGCAGGCAGAACGGGCGGAAAACGTCACAGGGGACCGAGGGATGTCGGGCCATCGATGTCAGCGCGATAGCGTGGCAAGCAGTCCGTCGTTTTGCTTACGTAGTGACATGTCCAAAAAGGTACCCAAAAGCCGGCCACCTGGGCATTCACAAGCGAGCAGCCAACATCATCACCGAGGATGGTTTGGACAGTGAGAACGAGGAGGTGCCGGCGGCGGGCTGTATGCCGAGGCATTTTTGAACAAGCCACTTGAATGCACGACAATGCGCGAAACACGCTCCCCACCTGGCGAGGCCCAAGCCCAGTAGGGCTGTGACCCTAGCTTGCATTGTAGGGACTGCGCACGACGGGCAGGCAGCACAGGTAGCAGTCCGTACAAACCGACATCCGCAAACTATCTAGAAGAACATCTAACAAGGACGGGGGGCCTCCTCCCCGCATCCCCCGTGTCACCATGACCCCGCTGATGCTGATGATGTGGGCCCCTTTTGCGATACCGGGACCAACTCCAAAATCCCCCCTGTGCCTTATAGGTCGCTGGGGGCGCGCCGGGTGCTCCCCGGATGCCCTCTTAGGGTTGTTCACGAGTGCCCCAAAACCCGCCATGCCGTGGGAATGGCCGCTTATTACTGGGAAGGCTTTCCAAACGAAGTCCCGCGCGGCACAATGGAGAAACGAAGGTCCGATGAAGCAGGTCTCTAAATGCCGTTCTGAGAAAAACAACGTTTGTTTTGCCTATTGCGGGGTTCCGACAGGTCTCAGGAAGAATAACGGGGGCTCCAAACGTGCTCATGATGCATGTCTCAAGAGGTTCTTGGAAGTTTCGGAACGTCCATCGCATGTCGCGCGGCGGGGTCCAAGGGAAGCACGATGCGTACCGACAGCGCCCCGTTAGATTGACTTGGACAGTGCGGTGCGCTCGCCATCCTTGTCCTTGCCCGCCCTCAGCCCAGCCCCTAAACATCTGCAGAATGCTCGGAGCTGCATCTGCTTGCAGACACTGTGGGTCCTTGGTCCTCACCCGTAGACAGCAAGGCATTGCGCATCTGCTCCTCGTTGGCTGCAACTTGCAGACACAAGAATTCCAGGGGCTCTGAGGATGCAACTCGGCTGTGAGAACCTGCGCCACAAGGGCCATAGAGGCTCTACCAATCCCAGTCACCCAGAGTCACCCATGCCCCAATTCTGGCCTGGGCTCGGCTCGCTGACCTGAAGCCAAAAGCTCCAAAAACAGGCGCAAAACGAAGGCCAACCCGAAAATTCCATGCCGGTCCCTCCGCACCTGGAAAACAGCGTCGCCGTCGCCGCCCGTCTTAGGCAGCTCCGGACCCGAGCTCAGCCTGCAAACGCTCAGATGGAGTGGGTTCATCCGCGGTGGTGCTCGAGCTACAGGCTGAAGGCCAAAACAGCAATCTCTTGCAACCTTGCCTCGAGATGGCAACTTCACAGAGAAGTGACGCAGCTTTGGCATCACCAGCCCAGGCTGGCCGTCCTATGAAGTGCATGCGCATTCTCGCTGTCCAGAAGTCTCGAAAAGAGGCGGATACCCGCCTTTTTGTACAGCACGGCGAGCGGCCTTGGCGACAGAAATCTCATCCAAGGCCACGTGCTTCGCTCCACGAAGCGCCGCCTTTGCTTCCAGCAGCTTCGTCGCAACTCCAAGAGCCTGATTCTGCATTGGGCCGGAGGTAGCCAGTAGCTGCAAGGTGAGAGACTGAGCTGTCAAGAGGAGAGAAAGCACGCTGAACTTCTCTCATAAACCTGCTCGCTCTCAACTGCCTCCGCCCACCTCATTTCACGCACATAAACAAGTTGTACAACTCGAGAGGTTGGTTAACACGACCTAGTTGCGACCAGCTAGATTCACTAGCTGTGTTTCGGAAAACTGTGTTTGCAGGCATGTTTAGATTGCAGTTTGGCCAGCCAGAGTTGTATACATGTGCGCCCGAGCTCTACCCGGTTGCTTGGCAACTGCGGCTCGGTGATACCGATCGAATCACGCCAAAGAAATGCGTGGAATATGCCCTACAAAGAGAATAGACGACCCCACCATGGCCATGTGGCAAAAGGAAGCCCAGGCACCTTTGACCTACGAATGGAAAGATTCATCGACACGACACGTGTATGGGCACCTTGGAGGGTCTTCAGAACTGAATGCAGCACTGAACACCTGATTCGAGTGTCATGTGCCAGCCTCGCTTCGTTCAGCTACAGGCGAAGCCGTCCACTGGTCCTTGGAAACCGAGCGCTCGTTTAGGCTCATTTCGAAGTTTACGGTGGCCCGAGGTTTGAGACTGCCCGTGACCATGCCACAGACCATAGTTAGCTATCACGATTGCTCGCAGAAGTACGGACTTTGTCGCCGAGCGTCAAGCGAATGCTGAGCATGAGTGACTGCCAGCTTCTGAAGCCGGGAGTCAGCACCGGCAGTGCAGAAATACACCTTCGAATCACATCACCCGAAGCGTGCAAGCTGCTGTTGCTCTGCTCCATGCTCTTGCAGGTTGCGCGGAATTCGACAAGGTTGCTCATTATGCTTTGATTTCTATTCATCAAGAAGGGCTATGTTACTATGTTGCCTTCGGGGTGCCTGCGGAAACAAGACTTAAGCAGATAACGGTGCAGCAACCGGCGGCTCCTAAGGCTCAGGCGAAAGCAAGGCCTTAGTCAAGTTGAAACTTCGACTCTCGAACACGACGTCTCACAAGCAGGCTCAGAGTTTGGAGCGGCCAGGCTAGGCAAGACTAGACATGATGTTGCACAGGAGCAGATTCTGCCAAGTATGTTTCGTGTAATATAATCGGCTCCGTTTGGCCGTTTCGATGCTGTTCGCCCTTCAATGCGTGGTCATTCCTCGACACGAGTGCCCATCCTGACAGGGTCTGGCAGCGTACAAAGACAGGGCAACAATGGTCTTACACGTGCACCAGGCCATGCAAGCCCGATTCAGACCGGGAAGGGCGTCTCAGGAAAACCGACTCCGAAGAAACACAGTCACACGCGAAACAATCCCCTCGATCCGACGTACCGCTTGTGACCTGTGTGTCGAAAAACACGCACGGACAAAACCCTAAAGCTGAGTAGCCGCTATCAAATCCTCTGGTCTCAGCGGAACGGTGGTCCTCGACCCGAAAGCCAGGATGCCAACATTGCGAGTCGCAAGCATACCAACCCCCGCGGAAGATTTTTACAAGCAATGGCATGCAATGGCGGGCAAAGGACAAGCCCAAAAGACAGTGGCATGACGGCGGCCACGCGGAGCCAGAAAAGTGCAAGAATGCAGCTTCCAGCATGTGGCCTGAAATCTCTGCTTTGTATCTCAGGCTTGGGCAGGCATGGACAGCGCAGCAAGGAACAGGAGCATCAGCCGACCGAAAACATGTAGCAGCCTTGCACGGTCAGCAGCCCGGACGCTGCAGTCAACAAATTGGTGAGCACTTCAACATCTTCACGTTTGTGGTCCCATTTACGGTGTGTCTGTCTACGTCCAAGTAAAACTTCTGTGTCTGTCTGACGTTCTCAACTTGGAGTGCAACGCTTCTGCGAGAAATTATGCGAGAGCTTCGCCTGATGCAGTCGCTCCATGGCTTCCTTCACGGTGGAGTCCTCCTTGCCGCCTAAGAGGGTCAGTGCGACATTCGCTGGGAACTGCACGAAAGAACGGCATCAATGATATGCACTCCCATGTGACTGAGAGGCCAGCTTTGGCCCAGCTTGGCTTCGGACTGAAAAAATGGTTTCGTAGCACACAGTTTCTAGTGGGAACGAACAGCCAAGCAAAAGCATGCAGGCCTGCCTGCAAGATGTCAAGTGCACTGACAAATATGGCATCCTGACGGAACGGAACTATGCGGTTTCAATCGAGTTCGGGCGCTCCGGGATTCGCGGGATTCGTGGCGCCTCCGACGCCTCCTCGCCCAGCCGGCCGCAGGCCTTCAGCGGAGCGGGTCCAGGTGCCTTGGCGAGCCTCACCAGGGCTTGGCCTCGGGCGGCAAAGGGCAGCACAGCAGGTGGCTCAACACGGACGAGACAAACGAGACGACGACGGAAGAAGACCTTCCCAAGAAGGACCTGGGTCGGCGGAGGCTGAGCTCCTACAGCACCAGCCCAAAGCCCGAGCCTGGCCCTCGGAACAAGCTTGGTTCTCCGGGGCCGCCTTGCTCACACAAAAACGCACACTCCGGAGCGAGGCTTTCAGCAGACTGGGAGCGGCGCTGTGCTGTCCAGGGCGCTTAAGGCTTTCTGAAGTTGCTGGACTACCTGCTCAAGAGCAACCGACATCATGGGACCACACACCTCCTGACCTGCTAAACACTCCGTTCAGCCCGGCCTGCTGCAACGTAATGTCTTCCGACGGGGCAGCCGCTGACAGACCGCTGAGAAGGCCAGGATCCTGTCAAAGGATGCTTGAGCATGGACCTATATATATATATATATATATATATATATGTCTATATGTAAACATATATATACACATAGACATATACATATGTATGTATGTTATTTTAAATGCATATATACACATACATACTTACATACTTATTTACATACATATATATATATACTATGCATATTCATATGCGTACATGTGAAATGTCGATGTATACGTACATTGGGTGTATATATACATGTATCATTCGTATCTATATCTATCCCGTCTATTCCATACCTAAAGCGATGTTCCATTTGCAGGAGTTTGCGTGATGTCGTCGACGTCGCAGTAACAATAGCAGTAGCAATAGCAGTTGGAGTTGGAGTAGCAGGAGCAGAAGCACGAGCAGTAGCAGTAGCAGCAACACCAGCAGCAAAACTACAGTAGCAGTAGCAAAAGAGGGAGGCAGCAGGCGGTAGTAGGCTGTAGGCGCAGCAGTAGCAGTGACTAGGAGTAGTCGTAAAGGTTGCCCAAACCCCAGTTGCAGGCGCTGTCGCAACCGCAGCAGTGTCGTGGTCGTCGTTGTCGTCGTCTAGTAGTAGTAGTAGTAGTAGTAGTAGCAGCAGCAGGAGTAGTAGTCGTAGTAGTAGTAGTAGTAGTAGTAGTGGTAGCGGTGGTAGTAGTAGTAGTAGTAGTAGTAGTAGTAGTACCGGCGGTAGAAGGAGGAGAAAGGAGTAGTAGTAGTAGAAGAAGAAGTAGTAGTAGTTTTTAGTAATTAACCCCTTTGTAAAACATGTAGTTCCTTCGCAAAAATTTTAATTCCCCAGATTCGGTGGAATTAGGTTTTGACGACAGATGCCTAATTATGCATTGGTCTTGGTGAAACACTATCAATATTGATGGTATTTTGTTTGACAACCCCCACTTTTTGTATAAAACCCAAACCACCACCGAGCAAAAACCCATCAATATTGATAACTTTTACAAAATCAATGCATTGACATCGGTCGTGACAACCTGCTTCCCCCAAGTCTGGTGAATTAACTTTTTTCCCAGGAACTATGGTTTTTTGCAAGGGAATTAAGTGTGTTGCAAAGGAATTCAGATTTTTGCAACGGAATAAAACTTTGCAACTGTTTTGGTGGTGGTGGAGGGTGACTTGAGATTCGAAAAAAATGATCCCGCCGAGCGGTGGGAATAAGTCTGTTGTAGGTGGTGGATTGGTGATTTGAAATTAAAAATGAAACCTTCGAGTGTTTGTTGTGGGTGGTGGAATGGTGATTTGAGATTCAAAAAGGAACAAATTCCCCCAAGGAGCTGGAATTAACGGGTTTTGTTGCTGGTCGTGGAGTGGTGATGCAAGATGCCAAAAAACTTAATTCCGCGCAGCCGTGGGAGTTGAATATTTTGGGGTAATTTGATATTCGAAAAAATCGTTCCCCCGCGAGCCGTGGGCATACAATCCTTTCTGAATCGCAAATTACCAGTCCACAATAAATTGATTGACATTACTACCGGTAATCTTTTCGCTGTTGCAACACAACTAACTACACTACGTCAAGGAAAAACTGAATTCACAATTCCCGAAACGTCGGGCGTGGGGAATTCATGTGTTTTGATGGTGGAGTGGCGATATGACATCCCAAACTTACTTCCCCTGAACCGCTTTCGGCTGCTGCGCGGAGCTGTGCATCGCTGTGTTATTGAGCCCTAAACCATAAACCCTAACCGTTAACCCTAAACCCTAAACCCTAATCTAACCCTTTACCCTTTACAGTGTGAGAGACTTGTGGCTAGTGGGCGTTTGGGATTTGATGGGAAACGTAAAAATGAGAGGGTCCCGAGTCCCGAGATGATGTGTGTTCCTACGTCGGTGTCGCTTACCGTCGGTTTGTTACCATTACACACTGATGTCCGCCCGTCCGACAAACACGCGCATGGCGACCTTTTTCAAATGGTGATCGGACCATTTTGATTTGTTGCGTACAAGATAGAGAGGTTTAAGGTTTGGGGCTCGGCTTGGGGTTTAGGGTATACGATCGGTTAGGTGGACACAATCGTTTCCAAACATGCCCAGCCCAAGACCACAATAACACTGCTTGAAGCGAAAAAACCTAAGCCAGCTGAACCACTTCTTCTCTATAATATGCTATACATCATTCTGTTGATAGAACCATTTGGTAAATTCGAACAAGCAAAAAGACAGAAACACGAGGACGTCTCGGAGTCGTACATCCGTATGCAAAATCGTTGTTACAGTATAATTGTACAACCGACTTGTTTTGAAGACATCGATGCGATGTCGCATGTTGGCAGTGGCAGTACCAAGGGCGGTCGTCATGAATGTCAGCTTGGCCGACATGAAGTTTTTTGTTCAATGCCAAATAAACGACATGCTGTAGGCTCGTTTTTTTCGATGCATTTTCACGCATGCACACCTGCCGAAAAATAGTAAACTGCTTACAACATGTGAGTTGGTGTGTGCATCCTCTGCCTGTTCAGCAACAAAGGCTAGCTGAAAGTCATAACCTTCTGCCCATTCGGCAAGAAAGGCTACTTAAAGGATATATCATGGCCGGTTGGTAAGCTTTATGACGGACCTATACATACCTTTTCCAATCCCTTTGCACACATGTACACAATTAGCGGCTCCGTCATCGACGAATGAATAACTTTGGTCCTGTCGTATCCGTTCTGTGACCAAAAAATCACACACGGGAGTAGCTTGCACGGATCTCTGTCCGGTCCTTACATGCCCCCACAGCAAGTAGAGCTTGCATTTGCAGCTGATGGAAGCAGTGTGCGCCTCATGCCAAGACGACGCTTACTCAGGATTCCTCTGCTGAAAAGAAAACTGATTCCGATCACGCAGTGAATTTATCCACGCAATGTTGCTGCTGTCTGCGAGGACCTTGCGAAGTTGCACGTGTCGGCCACCGGCCCTTTAGCTATCCCTGGGCTGCGAGGGGAGTGGGCTGCCTGCTCGGTTCCCGGGACAGCTCTTGAGCCACAGCTCAGACGGGCCAAAAATGTGAAGGGAAACCCTGCCTCCGGCAAACACTCGGTTGCTATTATTTGCACTTCGTGCAAAACACACCGTTTTGTATGTGACCTTGCTACCATACAAGTATCTAAGGTAAACCTTCAGTGGTCAGACAGACACGGACCGTGGCACATGCCTTGTCCAGGAAATGGAGGTCGGTCGAACGAGTATACGAAGCAGCCTCCAAGCAAGTGCAACAGATGCGTGGACCACGTTCACCCATCAATTCGCCTGAGGCACTGCCATGCGCAACTGCAATCTGCAGAGCCTAGCACAGTTCAGCCCAATACCCATCATGAGAGTCGAAAAGCATTCTGGGCTGCGAGCCAGATCTGCAACTTCGCCGCTTCAAGCTTGTCCTGATCGACACGCTGAATAAGGCCTCACTACAGTCTCGACATGATGCGCTTGAGATCCTTCGTGGCGTTGAATAGCTCGATGCCTTGCTTCGCATGTGTCATTGCCTCGCACGAGTCCTCATAAAACTCTGGAGATGAGAGCTTCCTACATCGACCTTCGTGAAGCGGCCAGTGCTCGCGTAGAGCCGGCCCAACCTAGAGGTGTGAGACAAGAAAAAGGGCTGGACGGGCTAAGACAGGCTATGATGGGCTATGACGGACTGATCCTTGGGGGCAGACTTGCTGTACGCTCGACCTAGCAGACCACGAACCTGAAGGGCAGGCAGGCTATAGCGGCTATGCTATACGGGGCCCGGCTCATGCAGACAGTCGAACGATTCGCGACACCGACTTGCACACGACGTTGCCTTTCGAGACGTCCGTTTGTTTCCGTGGTATCGGGCTGCTTGCGGGGCGGTTTAGTAAGCCGATGCCGCGAGCAATGCTGCACTTCTGACACCATCCACGAATGCCAAGAAGTTCCAGAAGCGATGTGCCCGCCTGCAGCTGGAGCTCCGATGCCACCTGGCAGCGCTCGTCTCAGGGCACGTTTCGGGTAATGGAAACAGTCCGCCTCGTTGGGCACCGCAGCCAACTGGTGCAGAGAACGGAGGCAGAGGCTCACGGTAGACTGTCAAGCGGCAAGCGGCGGCTGTCTTATGCAGAAGACAGCGGCAACTACGGCACACTGCAACGGCTGCACAATCTCCTGGAGCCATCGCTCACATTGCGTAGCTGGCGGCTGCATAGATTCGTTCATGCTCTTCACCTGGGCCTGAGAGGTCAGACCGATTCGAACACAATGCGCGCATTTTGCGCACACTGTTCATGCTCTTCACCTCCAGGTAGCTCCGGGTCTCCGGATCAAGCTCCTGGCCTAGTGCCTGTCAGCAGGTTTTTTCTCCGCCGAGTTTCTTGCTGTGCTGTGGTGATATCTCGGGAGCGTACAATGCTCGGGAGTACCAAAGAAGCAAGCTCATGCAGAAGATCCGCCTGCAAGAGACGTGAAACATGTTGCTCCACACAACACACAGAGGTCGTTCCCACATCAGCAGCTGACCCACTCTGGATTACGCTAGAACGGAAGCACACTTCGCAGAAGATTTCAAAGCTATGTAAGAAAATGCAACACCCAGTGTCGCACTTGCTCGACTCGCTGCTCGACTCTTGGATCCAGGACTTTGTCAAGCTCGGCTGCTACGCATAGGTGCCCGCTGGAACCTTCCACTTGCAGATGGAACCCAGCAGCGAGGATCTGTCACAGTCGTGAGCGTCGTGATTGTCAGAATCTGGGGCTGTGATACTACTAAACAAGCTGGTGCTGCTCGTAAGCCCCTGCACGCTGCGACTGTCCGGCGCGAGGCCTTACCACAAGATCCTGCCCAAACACCGGCAGAGCAGCATGGCAGCGAGTTCATTGTGAAAGCGACACACGCCACAGCCTCCGCTGCATCTAGCTCTTTCATCGCAGATCCAAGCATGCCTGGCTTGCTCATTGCGTTTGTTCTGCCGGATCTAGTCTAGAACAATTTCGCCGTGCGCATCGGGAAGACGTGAACAGGTCAATCTGGAAAGCACAACCGCGAAGTGCACGATTATCACAAGTATCGCGTGATGCCGAGATGCTCGTGGTTCAAGATCTAGCTGCAGACTCCCCGTAAGATTTGTCCGGCGTGCAGCGCGCACACCATGTAGGGGCTAGGCCCGCAGGATGCCGGGTGACACGGAGCAACAGCTTGCAGCTGCTACTGCTCAGAGCTCGTGGCAGGGACGTGGGTGTCATCCTCTGTTGTCCTTACTGGCTGGCAGTTCTGGCTACAACCTCCCGACATATTGCCATGCGATGCAGGAAAGACACGGAGCTTGGGAGAGGCTTTCCATACGCGAGCGCATGTTGGACATAAACCTGGTCACAGCCCCGCTTCTGAACATTCGGAAACAAGAGATTCTGTGGGCCTGCCCAAGTCTTTCTGCAGAGTGCGAAGGATACCACACCTCCTGCAATGTTTGGCAAAGGGCACTACCCTGCGCTGTCAGGGGCGGATCCACAATCCGGTCCCCTGCACTGCGAAGATCCATGATGGAGAGAAATCCATCGACTTGCTGTTGCAAGTTGGATGTGCCTGAGCTCGGCTAACTTTTGCATCGGAAAGCCCTACCGTTCGGCATTGTAAGGTCCGAGCAGGTCGCTATGTTCTGCTCTGTCACCATGTTTGCAAGGATGCTGCCTCGGGATGACATGTCTCTGCCGAGTGTCAGCGATGGGGAACCGAGGGGTTCACCTTCTGCAGGTGGCAAAGCCTGAGCAATGAAACCACAGGAGAAACTCAGGCTCAAACGCACCAAATCTGGCCTTCTGTAGCACTTTCCAAAGCAAGATCAACATCTGCGCCGGCAACCTTTCAAAGCGAGACGCAGCAAGCACTCTTCAATCTGAACCCCGGAAATCCAATCACGGTCGTCGCTCATGCGGTCTCGGCGCATCTCCCGCCAGCTTGAGCGAGCACGCTTCACCTGTAAATAAGAGAAGAAACTAAGGCTTCTGCAGAACTATAACTGTGAAATCTCCAAGCTCTGCCTTGAGCCGGACGAGCAAGATCATCAGCAAGCGATGCCACTTCTCACGAGGAAGAACCGGCCTTGGCTGTGACATAGGCGAAGCAAGCTCACACAAACATACACACACGCACACACAGTGGCTTTCGAGCATGCGTGCATAAGGACGAATTGTCAAGCTCATGATCAAATCGTGAGAATCCCAGGCTAAGCCGCCGACTCGGGCTGTAGCATCTTGTTCGCAGAAAGCATTGCTATAAGATCTGACCTGAATTGCAATTGAAACTTCTGGAAGCGCTATCACTCTTTGATGCTTAGTGAATGCAATAGTAATTACCCTGTCATCTGGGCATCCGAATCTCTTGTGCAACTCCGCTAAACGTCGTTCGTGCAACTCGATAGCTGCCCCAACCGATCACCTGACCAGCCTCATTCTCAATCAGTTGGCAAACCTTTGGGGTAAAAGATGCTGTACAGGCCTGTAAGCTTTCAGGTTCAGGTTTCGGGATTGCTTCAGTTTACGGCAGCAATATCTGTGTGGGATGGCATTCCCGCGATCGGGGCCCAGGACGGCAACCATTAAGGTTCCAAAGCTTCGAGCTTTGGGTGCAAGGGCAGAGAGCTTACAAGATTTAGGTTTCAAAGGTTCAGGACACGGGGTGCCAGGTTTAGGCCTAAATCGCATTGGGGGTTTCGTGAAGGATCTTTCTGGACAGTATGCGGTTCTCGGCCGGACACCTGACTTGCGCGACCTCCGGCACTCCCTCCCAGCCGCGTGGCCCCCGTACCCGCCATCTCCCCGCCCCACCCCATCCCACCCCCACCCCTTGCCAGCGACACCCACTTTCGTCGTCTTTTTGGCTGCATGCGACGGCCGAGGCGAACGACGCCAAGCGCATGCAGGCCCCTAGGTTTGAGAAATGATGCAAAGTGAGAGAGCTTCAGCAGAAATTGTAAGTAGATGTGCCCAAGTCCGATCCTAACCTGGAGTCCACTGCTTCCGCTGTACACAAGCACACGAAAATGCACTCAGTGCAAGGCAGCTGGTCTGCCATGGATACAGGTACCTGGGAGGTGACGACTCGGTGCCAGAATGCAACAAACCACGAATCTAGAGGGCACCATGACTTCACCAGGCCCAAGCCTCAGTGCACTCACAGGGTGCTCATGCATGGCTTGACCTGGACACATCTGGGGAAACGGCTTGGGTGTCTGCTGCAAGCGCTTGGTGAAGATCTAGGCGCAAGCAGTGCAGAGCACGGAAGGCAGTGTACCAAGAGACACTAGTTACAAGTCCGTACAAGTTTCCGTTGCCCGGCCTGTCCAGACCTGATGCCTGCAGCAATGGCACTGGTGCTTTTGCCAGGTCAACCCTTGGTCACCCTCTGTAGTCCTGTTCTCTCCGCTGATACCCGACCTGAGCCTTCATAAGTGTTCGGGAAGGAGCCAGAACTGGAAGCCTGACATGGGCACCCTCACAAGGTCGCCCTGCACCAGCAGCTCGCACCGGCACCTGTGTCTCCTTCGAGTCTTGCCTCGGCACACGAACAAAACAGATTACCCGGTGCGCCGACATGCAGAAATAAGGACTCTGCATCACCGCCTCACGCTCAAGCTCGTCGTCAAGCCATGGTGTGTCGGATCTCGTGACGAGGCCGAGGGAGTCTGATGAATGCGCAGCTTTGCTAGATCGTGGAAGACTAATCACTAATCGTGGAGTATGCTTGTTTGCCTGGTGGCTGCGGAATGTGCAGAGATTCTCACCCATGCTCACGTGGCTGTGGCAGTCGTAACGGAGGCAGGATGACGAAGGCCACCGTGACCGAAGGAGTGCCTCTGGCGCAGCCTTGCCAAGCCTGCGAGGGCATGTAGTGTAAGTGTACCATTTCCATCATCTCCATCTACATCTCAGAACTGCTTCTGAGAGAGCCACACAGGTGTGCATTGATGGCCTTGGCGTGAATCCTCTCCTGCGTCGACCGTTGATCCCAAGTTAGACTTCTGCTTCTGAGCCCCAAGGCCAAGTATGCATCCAGGGCAGGCCTCCAACTGCCGCACACTGCGCCCGAATCGACTTTCCAGATTGCTCGGAAGCACGCTGCCGCAATACCTGCATGTATCGCGGCAACTGCATATCATGCCACCACTACAGGCCTGGCATGTTTTCAAAATGAAACAGCAGACATCCAGAGCAAATCTCAGCTTCTGGATGCCTAGACTCCTCGACCCGGGTTGGCGTGTACCCGACAGGTGATGGTCACTGGCCGCACTTGGCCCTATTCGTGCTTTCTGGGATCCTGCACCCCAGCCATGTGTAAGCACGGAGGCCGGGAGCACTCTGCCAGATGCTGCCGGCTTCTCTGCAAGTGTCGCCTGGGCTTCTCCAAGTCCTCTCTGAATCATTCTGAAAGGCAAGCACTCGCCCGATCCGCGGCTGAACTGGGCTCATCGCACTGCGCTCAGCGTTCTGGACAGATCCAGATCCACGTCGCCGTACTCATCCTGTCGAGAGTGAGACGCGGACGCACTGAGCAATCCGAGCTCCTCTCGCATCTCAGAACCTCTCCTCTGCCAGGAAAGTGTCTGCGAGAAATTCGAAGGCCGAGGCCAAGAGCAGCTGAAATCTGAGCGCTCAGAGCTCACCCCACTACGGCATGCTACTGCCACCTAACACCAGCCGTAGCCAGCTTTCGGCGCCTGCATGGCAGCGGCGGCGGAGCAGAGCCATCCTCCGCTTCAAGGCCAAGCATTCCATGGAAGGGACGCAAGGCGGTACACAAGGCTCATGCGGTATCCTCTGCACAGAGTGTGGCAGATCTCAAAGCCCGGACCTGCTTCGGCGTGCGAGCGCAAGGCAGGGGCGATGCGGACAAGTTCACGAGGTGCGCGCAGATCGCAACATCATTTGGCGAACACGAATAGGATGGCAACAGCTTTTTGCTGTCCACCTTCGGCGCCGTTGACACCAGCAAATTCGATAGTAGTTGCATCTGGTTTCCATTTTTGGCCTGGCACCGGTCGGAACCTGAGCACTTCAGTGCATCTCCACACCCCCGCACTATTTCATCATGTGTTCGGCGTTGTCGGCTTCACGCAGAACTGGGCTCATTACATGTTTCAGCTCCGTCCGCAGTCCAGAAGTATCTGCCGTCATCGGCGACTGCGCAAGCCTCACCTCAGCAGAAGGTCACATCCCCTTTCATCATCACACCATGACCCCGTGTATAACACCGAAGTCCACCACTGTCCGTGTGTCCTCGTCTGAGATCTGTGCTGCTGCATGGTAGCTGAGCAACGCCTTCGTGACCTTTTGGAGCACCACATGGACGAATGCTTTCAGGAAAAGGCAGAGGCGCACCAACACTGCGCGCAAACGATGAGAACTTGGAGACGAGTCGATTTTGGAATCCTGGCAGCGGTGAGCAGACCAGAAGCACTGAATGAACTACCCACCCATCCGGGTCCTCTGCAGCCGTCCGCTGCAACGGACAGGTTTGAGCCTCCGACCAAAGTTGATATGCCCAATTCGCATGTTTAAAACCATCCACACTTCCACAGGCATGCCGGAGTAGCCAGGGCAGCAGGTGGCTCCAGATACTCTGAGCCTCGGCCCATCCAAATTGAATGTATAGAACCGTTTAAAGGTGCACCACTGGCGTGCCGAGCTCTGGTTTTCAACGTGACTTGCAAGCTGGCGCCAGTCTACTTCAAGCCGAATCCCTGCGTCTCTGTCACGGCCTCAGATGTCAAGCACGAGAGCAAAATGGGGGGCGTTGTCAGCACATGTTGCACAAACCCTCCCGCTCCTGCAAAAGCCGCTCTTGAAGTACTTTCGGAGATGAATATAAGGGTAGCAAAAGCGTGTGAAAGCCTCAGATGCTGGGTAGCTTGCTCGCACAAGCCATTCTCTGCATGCTAACACAAACACGCACACACACACACAAGATTGGCTGGAACATTCACTCCAAGCTTCAAGTGTACGCTGTTGGCAACCTGAGAACACAGCTCCGAGATAATCTCGCGGTATGACAACGTTGCAAGCTCCACTCTACCACGCCGCGCACCTCTCGTCTCCAGTCCCATTCTTCTGGATCTGCAACTTCAGGTCACACCAGCCCTTCGCGGGCATCCTGGAGCTGCGCCAGTCTACACGTCTACGTGGCCGCATGGGCTGGTGCGTGGCTCGAGTCCTCGAGCTCGCAGATACGAAGACAGCAAAATTGTCCAGCTCATCTGCGCTGAAGCCCTCGAGAATGTCCTCGGGGCCGGCTTAAGCAAAACTAATCACATCCGCTTGGTCGAAAAAACACATCTTCGCCAATTTCGCCCCATGTGGATGCTGGACTTGGCAAGTTCAGCTCAACTATCAGCATATTCCCCGTTGTCCCGCCACTTAGAGGCGCCATGTCACAAGCACCGGTGCAAGACGTGAGACGGAGACGTTCAGCGCATGCAAGGCAATGCGACCCAGAATGAGAAGTTCAAGCCCTCGAGCGGACGCAAGACACGACACTCAGATCCTCTTTTCACATTGCCCGAAACAGAGCCGAACACAGTGCTAAACCCAAATCCACAGCCAACGCAACCCGGACAGCCCTTCAGAGCACTCGCGAAAGACCACCATGATACATCATTCTCGCATGTACACGAACTGGAGCCGTGGCTATGCTATACATTCAACCTAGGCATTGTACTTCGCGGCCGCCTATTCCACCTCAAGACCGCATCGCCTACTCAACCTCCGTGTGCATGCGTACATACGTGTATACTGAGCTGAGCTGTAAACCCCATGCCGGAGAACGGCATTCTGGAGGGTTTACTCTGGACCGCGACATTGGGTCTTAAGCCAGCGGATCTCGTGCTGAAGGAGCATGATATTAGAACAGAAAACTTTGGTATCATTGGCGTGCCGGTAGGATATTGGTAAGCCACATAACCACACTTGAAGGCTATGCAGACACATGCCCGACACGCTTTCCAAATGCGGGTTGGATGACAGCTGGGGGGTATCGACGAGGCATCGGCAACCGGCCAAGTCCATACAAGCACTTCCTATGACTCCGTTCAATCCTGCAGCAACCCTTAAAATCAGGATTGTTGGTCTGCCCAACATATGGTCTTGACTAATTAATGGGGCTTTGACCGTAATAAAAGCAACAGTAGTAGTAGTAGTAGTAGTAGTAGTAGTAGTAGTAGTTGTTGTTGTTGTTGTTGTAGCTGTTGTTGTTGATGCAATGCCAAGAATACCAGTACTCAAAAAACATAATTTCCATGACCGTAGGTTGTAGACCACACAACCCAAGGAGGCCAGCACCTACCACAAATCTCTCGCACGATGCAGCTTGAGAACCCTAAACCCCAAAGTACTTCTTCGCCCAAAGAGGGCGAACAAGAAGCTGAAACCTGTCATTGGCCCTGTGTATGAGAATCCGGAAAGGGTAACAAAGGCCGTCCAAGGATCCCAGAAAGCTGCAAGGTAGGCTTCCTCGTGGGGCTCCCATCCCAGCACGATAGCTCCTTCTCTCACAGCCGACACGTTCACGGCTTGCTCGATGCCACAGAGGAGATGTTCTAGCTGCTCTAGGCCAACATGCTGCCGAATCATCTGCGACAGACCTGCGACTTCGCAGAAGCCAGTGCAAAATGCCTTCTGTTGCTCCTCACATCGCACATTGAAGAACCAGTGCACATAGTCGCGAACGTACCCCGTTCGCAGCTCCTTTGTCATGTTGGTCAGCTTTCGAGTGTCGGGCCAATTCAACACAAAGAGATCGTCGATGTCGTCACCTTCGTACTCGACGAGGTGCTCCAAACTTCGTGCGATCGCAGAGTCGACGGTCGCCAAGTCCACCAAAGACCAGGGCCTCGCGTAGGAGGAGCCCATCGCTAGCAATAAGAGATTGTACAATGCCACGGGGAATACCGAGGGCAAGAAACAGTCGTTGGCGATTGCATGTCCGAGTAAAGCGCCAGTGGCCCGGTATGCTGCACAAGCGTCGCAAGCTTCATGCGATTGCATCTTGAAGTCGTTGTTGAAGTTGTTAAACCAGTGCGTTCGGTTCTCCTCGTTGTACAGCCACGGCTGAAATGGATGAAGTTGCCGCAGTGCACACACGAAAGCCAGGCGAATGAATTCCTTGTTGACTCCAGGACCACTGGCCGGCTCACCGACAAAGCTCACTTGAAAGAGGTGCCCGATGTGATGGAATATGTTTGTCTTCTCATCGCGCACGCGTGCCAGGTTCTGTGGCCGAACTTTTTTCTCCTCACCACTCTTTAGCTTAACTGCCCACCTGACCGCTGAAGCGTCAAATGACTTTAAAGTGCCGAGATGGCCGTTTAGTTGAGGCTGAGCACCGAGGCCCTCCAAACGCACCTCGCAACCTTCAAAGAACTCAGTTCCCAAGGCTGCTACCACGCCGGCAAGCAGCTCCGTTGCTGGCTCACGCTTCACTTTCAGCAGTCGATAAGTCTTCACAGCTCGCAAGCTTGTGGTGGCGCTTCGAACATCGAAGATGGCACACTGGCGTCGGAAAGTTTCGGGAACCAGGCAGGCGTGGGTGAGAAAGCAGGTGAATCGAGCATTGATCTTGAAAGGATGCATGAGAAGAACGTCGCTACACTCCTCCTCTTGTGAGTCCAGCGTTTTGTGCCATCTGTGCCAATCTGAAATTGCGCTGCATTTGTCAATACCTTGAAGTATGAAACTCGAAGCTTCTGGAATCCGCGCACCCTCCGAGTAGATTTCACCCAGCCGATGCTCTGCAAGAGGAAGCCTGTTGGCAGCCTCTAAAATCCGCAGGAAGCCAATGGTGTGCCAGAAACCAGTCCCGCCAGCTATGTTCTTAATGTCCTGATCCCGCAACAGCCGCAATGTGCATGTGTTTGTGAAGAACGGTTGTGTGTTGGGTTGGGGATGCTCAATGAATCATATCTTCTGTTGTTGGCTGGGTTTCGGGATGTCTCCTCGGAGCTCCAGGTCTTCAGAGCTTTAGGGTCGTTTGATTATTTCCAAATGCGCTGCAGGTTAACACCAAAAGCCAGACCATCTTGGCTCGAGTAAGTTAGACCACCAAGACGGGGGGCTGTCGGAACAAGCAGGATTGTCGGTGTCGGCATTGAGATAGTGTGCTGATATTCTAAGACTCTCAGAGTTAATGGTGGACAGGGGGATGTCTGCAGCAAACACAGGCTCGTAATGAACGAGTTCCTGCAAATACACTCCCCCACTCTCCCACCGTGAGCATCAGATCCCTGATGATAGGCATCCGAAGTCTCATGAGCGTGACCATGAGACGGAAGTTTCGCTTCCTTGCAGGCTGTTGTCTTTTGGGAGTGGCGGGCTAGGACGATGCTATGTGGGCATTCCCTTGTGTCAAAATGGCGGCTGAGCTTATTCCTACCAATGAATCGCTTCCACGTCTCGTCGTCACACAGGAGTTCAAACCCAGAATGGATCGGAATACCATGCTAACTAGGATTGGCTTCAGTCGTGTAGCTATGGTGGCGAGCAGTAGTCGAAGTTGATGCCTGCGCTGCCTGTTTTGCAAGTTTCATTGCTGCATCTTCTGTCGCAATCCTAGTTCGAAGAATGGGCGAACCAACTGGACTGAGACTGCAAGGCTCTGCTGATATCCGAAATCGACAACCTAACGAAATGTGACACACACACACACCAAATCTGCACATTGGTTCCTGCTGCCCGGGAAGGGGTGGCGTGGCGAGGTGCTGCTACAAACCGTCCACCTGCGTCTGCTCACTTCCACGTAAGACAAGCACACAAGCAATGTTAACCTATAGCAGGCTTCTGTTCTTCAGATCAATATCTTGAAGAGCTAAGCATGCAAGGTCACACTCGTCTACCATTGTCTACCCTGCTGATGGCCACCGGAATTCCGATGATCTGTAAGATTCTGAAAGACAGTCGAAGAATGTCGCGATTAATCATCAACCTGTCCTCCACATGCACAACACTGGCATCCGCAACATCCACTACAGCCTTCACCAGCTGCTGGAACATGTGGATTGGCCATTGGAAGGCGAGGTCTCTCAAAACTATTTCTCGCTCGGTTGGAGACGTCGAAAGGATTTGGTGCGAGACAAACCATACGAACTGGACCACCCAGAGGGAATGCTGTACGTCTCGATTCGCAAAGAGCGACTCGAGCTGCTCGTAGCATTTCTTGCAGAAATCAACATCGCATCCATCCTGGCAGTGCCAGAACTCTCTGTCCTGGATATGTGCATCACAGTTGTCACACGCACGATTCGTCTCAAAATACATCTGGCCGGAAATAGTCATTGCCTGAGCAGAGTCTGGCATAACCTGCTTTTGCAGGGGATGCGGGTGAGGTACAACACTTGTTCCACGTCGGTCTTTCGGCAGTGCATCAACGAGAAGCGGCAAAGCGAAAGCCAGCAAGGCTTCGATCCAGTGCACATTGCTTTCCGCAGCTGCAAAGGCAGCCACGTCCTTACAAAGGTCGTCCAGCCTGCTGCGAGCAGATGCCCGCGCATCCAAAATAGAAGCTGAGGCACGACTGCCTTGTCTGTATGTTAACGGCTCCAGAGCACGATACAAGTCTTCGAGGCTTGCATCCCGTAAGAAGCTCGCGAGCTCTTCGGGGGAGCTGCTCTTAGACAGCTCGGAAGCCAGCTCAGTAGGAGAAGCGGTTCGTTGGAAAATACTTTCCATGGCTCTGCAACACCTGCCCAGGTTCATCCGCGTCTGATTGGTGTGAATGTGGAGCAAAAGGCTATCGCATGACAACAGTTCTTGTCTGCTAGTACCCCCAAACAGACACCCCAAATCCACACCGACAAATATTTCCAATGACCGGCAAGCCTGATTTCTAACATCATCTCTTTGCCGGAACAGCTACGAAGAGCTTGACGTGTCAGCTCAAGTCTGAGAGCTGCGGCAGGAGGAGTGCGCGGAGGTTTGGAGAAGCAAGAGGGAGCACACTCTGGCGCAAAGGCTTGTGAGGCTGGGGCTTTGCAGAGTGAGCAAGCCCGGCACTTTGCTCATGACCTGTGCAGCTTGGACACTCGAGGAGACGAGGAGCCATCGCTGACTGATTCTGAAATGCCTCGTCCTCTTCATCATCGGATGGCTCGGGCCTTGCCACACGGGACAACATGCAGCGACGCAGTGTGAAGCTGCATCAGGAGGCGACTCGCTCCGCTCAGAGTCGCCCACCCGGACCCCGCGAAGAGTCTCGGCCCCAATGGCCCTGGCACCAACAAGAAATGGCCTTAGCGACTCAACTCACTGGGAGCTCCTTCTGAACTCTGGCAGCTCTGGCAGCTGAGATCGGTTCCTCCATCACGATCACATCGATCGACCAGAACCTCGCGGACTCTTCAAGCGGCGTACGACAGCTTCCCACAAAAATCGAACCTCCAAGAGAGAGCGGCTGGCTTCTCGCAGGACTGTCGGATCGAAAGCCTGAGTCTGACATCGCCGACGTGCGACTTTTCTTCCTCGTCAAGACTCTGACACTGGAGGCCGCATCTTCGTCGACCAGACATCTCTGCTCGTCTCTGTAAGCCTGCCGCTGCCCAACTGAAACAAATTCTTACCTCGAGTATGTCTGCTGCATGACATCGCAACGCCTTGGCGATTTCCTCCAGGTGCGGTATGTCTGCTGCCAGCCTTGGCTAGCCGGGAAAGGCTTCTCCAGTGCCTCTTCCTAGTCCTGATCGTCCACAACTTGGCTGCACAGGCACTGGCAGAGGGGAGGGGGCTTGGCTCGAGAGCGCGCTCAGTGCTACAATGCTGCAGAAGCCGTTCTGAGCCGCCAAAGGAAACACAACCCGATGATACTGCTGATGCTCGCGTCGTACGCTCGCTGGCAGACTCGCTTTTCCGTCATCCAGGGCACCGGCACGAATCTGCATCCACGGCAGATACCATCTGCGTCCACCTTACGACCCACAACAGTCAAGTCATTCAGTCCTCCTCCGTCCGGCCAGTAAAGATGTAAGGCACGGACAAAGAAGCAGAGCAGCGATGGTGAGCCTTGCAAGCAACACCTTGCAGTTCGACGGCATTGACCTACGGTCGCGCTCGTCTAGACTAGTCACTAGGCACTGAAACGGCCGAGGCGCGACAACCAAGAGTCTATAAGCGTTCGTGTCTCAAGCGGGGAGTTCAGCGGCACCTCATGATAGCTTGACGGACACTGCTTCCGTCTGCATGATGCGGATTGCTGTCAGGCGCCAACCACCAGCACCACTGTACGATCCTTGCAGAGGCTGTGCAGGCCGGGAACTGGGGAGCATGAGCTTACATCTGCTTGGCTCCTCCGTCACTCGTCGGTGGTACCTCGGAAGCGATGGTCCGTCGGGCTGCGGTACGATGAGGTTTCCTTCACCGGGTTGCATGTGCAGAGCCGACACATTAAGGCATGGTACTTGCCATGACCGGCCTGCAAACTCCAAACGCTCAATGCTGAAGCCTTTGACCTCGGAGCACATGCCGCATAATTCTAAAACCTAAACCCACGCCCACTGGAGCTTCCGGCACTCGACTGTCGATCCAGAAGCAAAAATTGAGAGCTCCTGAAGGTAGCACTGTGCACGCAAACGCAACACTCGTCGCCCCTCCAGGCCTTGAGTCCAAGGTGCTGCCTTGCTGCGGGTTTTTGCTTTCTGCTCTCGCGAGCTGTGTCTGCCCCTGTGTGCGCCCGCTGACGCGTGCTGTCTTCTGCTCTTCTGCCTGCCTTTCCTCTCACGTCGCGGCGGCGATAGCTATGGTTGGGTGTGATGCGGATGAAGGAATTGGTTGCAAAGGTCTTCAACTCTTGTGCTCAGTGATGCTTAGTGGAGCCCTGGGAAGAGGCCTGCCACAAAGACTCAGGATTCGCCTGTGTCGACTATGACTATGCTACCCGGGACCACTGTCACTTGTGAGGCTTTGCTCTGTGTCTGCATGTGTCCAGGCATCGGGTTTCTCACCCATCCCCAAGCCATCTCAGGCCCGTCCCTGGGTTTCCTGCTTGCTCGTATGAGTCTCACAACAAAAATGCCACTTCCTTCAACATTGGTCACACACCCACAATTACCCACACACCCACCCACCTCTAAGCAGGAAGCCGGAGTTCCTAGCCGGCCGAACGTCTCAACTTCGAAGGGCTCGACAGTGTCGACTCCGCGCGGCCTCCGTGCCCCCGCGCCTGCCTGCCGTACGTCTTTGTTCGTTCACGGGGGCCGGATTGTTACGTCCGCGTGGCACTCGTGGCCCCACACTAATGCGACGTCGAGACGAGCGCCCACTTGCCCTCAGCCGCCATCCGGCAGTGTCGGACTGTCTTGAGACCCGATAGTTGCGTACGCCTGCGTGGTCCTGGAAGCTGAGCAGCTTCCGGCAGCTCGTGCGACCGGCTTGGTCCGCTGAGGGGATCGACCTCCTAAGCCATCTGAACTTCCTCTTCGCTTCAGCCTTCTACCGTACAAGCGAGTGTAATCAAACCGCACCCGGGAAATGCTGCCAGAATGCGGCGAACTCGTGCTCTTCTCTCCTTCCTAGGATGCCCTCTTGTCATCCGGGGACTCGACCAGAACTCATGGAGGTGACAGCAACCAAGGAGAGGCCCTCGCGGACCTGAAGGCATCTGCGACATGCCCACAGCCCCATCGAGGATCTGAATGCTGGCGGGGCACATGCCACTCACAGCACGGCGTTGCAGGAGCTGATGGGCTGTCGACGTTGACCTTCTGCTGTGCCAAATTGAGTGAGAGCAGGTGGGGCGAAAAGCTTTCGAGGGAGGGTAAGTGAAAGAAGCATACCAGAGGAGAGGGGCCAATTCAGAAAAACAAGTCGAAAACAGAGGGGGCAGAATCAGCAAACAGGCTGGACGAAAGTCATCAACAGCACAGGCGGATTCAGCATGCCTGACGGAGCATGTCGGAGACAGCCGAGCCCGAAGCAGCAAACGGCAAGGAAAACCCGTACGACATCAGCACCTATAACAGACCGACATGCTCCTTGAAATGCAGTGTAAGCTTGCCCCGCATTTCAATGTAACGCTCTTTCCGAGGCCATCGATGTGCGAGAGAGCAGAGATAATGACACGAATGCAATGAAGTGAAAGCATGCTCCTCTCATGTTAATTAGGGGTGTTTTGGGAATTCCAAGTGTTACACGGTTACAGCCACAGCTGGAGAACCTGAAACCTGATGTTGTAAACCGATGACTGACCCGTGTCACTCAAGTTCTCTTTTTCTAAGGTGAAGAGAACAAATCCATGTTGTGCAAATTAATGAAATAAAACCAACTTGAGTGCATGTTGTATTTTAGTAGGTGTAGGTCTAATTCTGGGGTGAAAGCCTGGTGGTTCATAGAGTGCTTGAGTTACCCCGCGCCCCGCCCCCCCCCCCCCCAAGTTTCGAGGCAGCATGTCTGGCGGGATTCTGGTGTGGGAGGAGGGAACAAGGGAGGTTTACACCTCCGAACCCATCCAACATGCTGCCAGTGTCCACGGATAAACCCGGCACACCATTCCCTCATCTTGGAAGAGACACCACAGTTGATGATTCATGGACTTGGAAATTAACGTGCAGACCACACCAGGCAATTTAATAGAAGCGGAACAGACAATAAAATTAATGGTTGGTTCCTGTTGTTTTGCTTGAATGACAAGAAGCCATGCATTCACTTCATCACGTTTCTTTCATTTGTGTTGCGCTCATGACATCAAAACAACTCTCTGTTCACAGCCCAGAACACCTCCAAAATTCGCCAGTTTTCGGTCACGGAAGATCTAGATAGAAACAAAGAAACATGCAAAGCCTTCGTGCTTTCGTTACAAGTATGGTTTAATTTTGCTGATGTTACTTCACTCTTGTGTTCTCATCACTTTCATTCCATCGTTTCTCTGTTTTGATCATCTATTCACTGTCTTGTTCCCTTCACTCACTCGGTTCTGACATTCAGTCGGTCGGTCGGCCGGTCGGTCTGTCGGGTCGTACGCCAGGCGGCGCGTGGACAAGCAAGGATCGGCACACCGAACGACGCCAGACAACGGGGTCATGTACAAGTCTGGCTACTTCACGTGACCGTCCAAAACTTCAGAAGCCTTATTCTTAATTTCTCTGCTCCACTCACGTACATCTGTCGGTTGCAGGCTGCGTTGTTCCGGGCATGAGGGCAGTTTGCACATGGTCCCTTGGGCATCGCAGGACTTTTCCAAAAAGAAGTTGGCGTTGCAATAGCAAATCTGCGGCTGCACGATGATGGGCGCGGCGAAGGAGTTCAGCATTGGATACCCGAGAGATGAATGCAAACGAAAACTAAGACTTTGGCGCAGGCAGCGGTTTGAAAGCCATCCAATCGTCTGCGTTCGGCTGCAGAAAGACACGAGCAACTGAGACTGTACAACAATTTGGACTTGATGAAAGATCTGAAGATGTCGAGTTTGCGGGCGCGAGACAGTGAGGAATGTTTCCAGATCTTTTGCCATACTGATACGACGACCAAGCTCGTGCCCAGGTAGACGGCCGTGAGTGAGAACCGATCTGAGATCATCTATACCGGATTTAGACTCAATTCGTTCGCCCGTGGGAGTCAGAATATTGACCTGAAGGAGCTGAAATTTATCCCAGTGGAGCTCCATCCCGTACAAGTTGCCAGTATCGCCTGCATATACAATGTTAGCCAAATCACCCCGATGGTCCAGAGACGAGGCATCCAGCTTCGCAACAGCATCGTGCATGAGGCCAATCATCATCATGATGACCAACAGCGGGCTCAGCATACACCCTTGTGAAATGCCGAAGTTCTGTGCCTTTCTCTCAGAGAAAACCCTTGCTCTTCAACATAAAATGTACGGAAATGCATCATGTTACCAACCATTTGCAAATAGAAATCTGGGATACCCTATCGGCGGAGTGCATCGAGAAGGCTGTCCGTGTTGATGCTGTCAAATGCCTTCTTCCAATCAAGTGCCAATAAATGGATCTGACCATGGCGTCGCGCACACGCCTGTCCAATGCTGCACAATGCAACGACAATGGCATCCTCGGTGCAGTGCCCTTTTCTGAAGCCGAATTGAGATTTCCAGAGCCTGTCTTCAACACTGCATCTAGAAGACGCTGTTTCAGAAGCGATGCAAAAAAGCTTGTCTGCAATACTCAAAAAGGCAAATCGGCCGGTAGCTGTTGGGGTCAGCAGGGTCACCTTTCTTAGACACCATAGCCACTGAGCTGGCACAGCTTTGGTTTGCCAGCAATGATTACAAAGTTTCAAGAGCCAATCCAAGCTCGTGTCAGATTCCGTAGCCAGTGCTTTGAAAACTTCAATGGGTATATCGCCGCGATTCGTGGCCCTACCAATAAACATGTGCTTAATGGCTCTCCAAAGCTCTGCCATGTCGAAGTCTCGCGCATTCTCGCGCGCTCACTGCGAGTGGAGGTCCGAGAGGGGCTTCGTCAGGGATCAAGGTTGTACAGCAGCACGGAACAAAAAGTGGAAAGAGAAAAACAATAAATCAAAGAGCAAGCCATGTTTGCGGACTTCAGCCTACGTTTGCTGACACATGCTACTCTGGCATACCAGAAGCAAGCGGCCCATGCCAAAAGCCCCAGACTGTTCAGATCTGAGAGTAATGCCGGTTCTGCTGTTTGGATGGTCGGGAACACTCGCACCATCTCCCCATCGACACGAACCTGACGAGAACGACTCTGCCAGTGGACGTGCACAAGCCCCCGTTCATGCAGCATGATGTGGATGTATGCGGCGCCTGGCAGCGAGAGGCGGCGACCTGCCGTGGAGAGTACCTTTTGAGCAGACGCGCTTCATGTAGCACAGTGCCAACCTAGTTCGCTTTCATGACCTTGGCGACGATATGTCGTCGAAGCTTGCAGATTGCTGCCACTCCTTTGGCTTCTCAACTTTTCAAGAGAGTGAAGGTACTGGTCGCGACCTCGTCGTCTGAGATTGGCTTGGCAGCATCAAGGACGACCTCAGAAGCATAGGCCGACAAGATTCCTCTGCCCACGCGTCTTCGAGGAGCTTCTGTTCACCCGCACTTGGGCTCTTGCAAGGCAGTTCCCAATTCTGTGCAGAGACAGGGCCTTGATCAAAGAAGGGGAGCAGAAAAAGCGAAGCACTTCTGCGCATTGCACCCCGCATTGCACCGCGCACCTCGCCGGCCTCCTTCAGAGGCAGCTCGAAGAGGCGCTTCAGAGCCTTGGACCACTGCGTTTGCTGCGCAAACACTGGCAAAACCGACCGATTTTGGGGCACCGACGCTTGTCTCTCCAACGACCCGCACTGCAGACCTCGCGTGCGAACACTGCGCGAGCTGACCAGCCGCAAGCTCCGCCGGTGCTTCGGATGCGCGCCCATCGCAGGTCTCTGCGCGCTGCCACGGCCTCGTAGACTCACGCAGATTTGCACATGTGTGAGGCTTCCGCCGGATGGTCGTGCTACGGCCGCGGCTCTTCGCCGACGACCCAGTCCAGCAAGTCGCCCGCCCTGCGCACCAAGTTCAGTGTCTTGCTACGACATGTCAATCAGGGTCTCCTCGGAAAGCGACAGGCATCGAAGAGGACCTGGACTCGCCACAAGACGAGCTGTCAAAGCTGTGTTCTGGCCTTGGCCTTGGCTTCCTCATCGTCCACGTCCACCTGGAAACTCTTTCCACAAGGACAAGGACTGGGACCCATGGGACCCGGAGGCCTCCGAGCTCGATCTAGACAAGGCCGGAGACCAGGACCTCCACGCGAAACAGGCTTCGGCTCGTCAGAAACGCCACTTCCACCTCGTCCTACGAGTCTGGAATGGGCTTGCGTCGGATCCATGCACGTCCATCGGAGTGGGGCTACCACATGCTACCCCGGCAGGGCGGTTCTGATGCGTTGTGCTATCGTGGTCTACATCCTATCAGGACGGCCGTGCAAAAAGGAATCGTCTGAGCACGGTTCTGGAGTGTTCTGGAATGTGACTTCTCTAGGAAAGGAGAGCCTTCACGGCTAATGAGGCAGAAACGCAACTGCGGCAAGTGGCAGAGGCAATGTCGACATCTACCAAATCGCTTGCACCGGCACGGCCCTGTTTATCCGGCGCTGTCGAGTCAGGGGCCAGCTGCCTGAAGAGAGCCGCAGCTACACGGAAGGCTCTCGCGACTGCCCTGGCCACCTGGCCTGCGACCGCACGGCATCGAGCACGGTGCGCTGCTTCGCCTGAGACACACATTCGGCAAGGAGTACGGTACCAATCAAGCTGTCTTCGAAGCCTTGCCATTCCGGCCGCGACACGGCTGAGGAGTGGGCCAAATGAATGCATTCCAAGTTATGTCGCAGGAAGTTCTCGTTGTCCTGCATTCGCCAGGCCCACTTGGCCCCTCCGACCGAAGCACGCGTCACAAGTTCCTCGATCATGGTCCCCACTTGGATGATCTGGGCATCCTGCTGCTCTGCATTGCGCACGTGAGAACGAGCAGCACTCACCGAGAGATATGCAAAACTCTGTGATGCACACACAACGAAACAAGTATGCACTCAACTCCCCTGGCCAAGCACATGTAAAGCAAGCTTGAGAGGATCTAGTTTGCGTGACGGTTGTAGCACTCCCTGGCAGCCTTTCCTCTCCAGCCTTCTTGCGCCGGTCCAGCCGAGCTTCTGCCTTCGGCAGATTCCAAGTTACTCTGGGTCGGCTGTGAGATCCGTGGACCACCGCAGTGACAGCGGCCTGACGTGTGAGATGTCCGGAGAGCTCCGTCTGATCGGCCTTGGTGGCGACCTGTCAAGCGAAAAAGTAGGCTTCTCCTTGCTGGCTGGAACCTTGATTTCCAGTACGCTTCAACCTCCAAAAAGCAAGACATGTGGTTTCTCCTTCTTGTTTGGAGAAGGACTTCTCGCAAGAGGCTTCAAAGGGGCTTCAGCATGAGTCCCCCCAAATTCACTTCTCAAGTCGATCTTGAGCCTCTCTCAAGCTGCTTCAGGCTTAAAGTCTGTCTGCACACACGGACGGAAAAGGGATGAAGCCACTGCGAAATTTTCGGCAGGCTCGTTTCTTCTGTGTTCCTTCGGAATTCCTCTGAGCTACATGGCGATCGCAGCTCCCTTCGATGGTGTTGATGCTTGTGGTGATGATAACTTTGTCGATGGTGGCGGTGATGAAGATGATGATGATAATGATGATAATGATGATAATGATGATAATGATGATAATGATGATAATGATGATAATGATGATAATGATGGTAATGATGATAATGATGATAATGATCCGCATCGGGATCATCACAGAGATGGTGGGTGCTGGTGGCGAACGCTCATAATGATGATGATGATGCGGAGGAGGCGGAGGACGAGGAGGAGGATGAGGAGGATGCGGATGAGGATGCGGGATGAAGATGAGCATGAGCATGAGGATGAGGATAACGAAAATGATATGATGATGCCGACGATGATGACGACGATGACGACGATGACGATGGTGATGAAGCTGAAGACGACGATGCTGATGCTGATGCTAATGCTGACGGAGATGGGGATGGTGACGTTGACAGTGACGGTGGCTGCGCTGCTGCTACTGCTGCTGCTGCTGCTGCCACTGCCTCTGCCACTGCCCCTGCCACTGCGACTGCCACTGCCGCTCCCACTGCCACAGAATGAGACCAAAGTGTTCGGGCCCGACAAGGGGACAAATAAGGCCTGAAAATGAAGCCAGATCGTACTGGAGAGCTTGAAATCCACATAGTGAGAGTTCGGCGACTCCCGTACCTGGGAACTTGCCACCAGTTCATCCCGCATGGCACTTGCACAAAGCTGAATTCAGCTCATTCCGGTTGAGCGGACTTTATCCAGCCTCCAATACGTGGATCGAGTCCCACACGCCCGTCTTTCCGTCGCCTCGGACTGCTTGACACAACTTCAAAGCACCAGGTACGAAAACTCCCGTGGCATTGGTCAGATCACTCTCCGAGAATGAGTAGCACGAATGAAGCAGAACAATGAATCCACCGTTCAGTTCTTTGAGTGGGCCGACAATATCTTGAGCTGTTGCGGGGTTCTTGCTATTCATGCTCCTACTACCGTTGCAACGGAAAAACATCGTGACGATCCTCACGACTCTTCGCAGTCGTACAAATCATCCTTCTTTGTGAGGGTTGAGTGCTGGCAGCAAGTTGTACCACTACCAATAAGTTCTTGCTTTTCTCAATCTGCTTACAACTCTGCGTAGCAGTCTGCCAGTATTGCTACAAATCCTGTCTGCTCTTCTTATACGAAACTCTCCGATCACGTGTCATCGTCATAGTCTGATCACACTTCAGGATCCTTGCAGCTGCAGAACAGTATATGGCGGGCCGAGGGCTGCGGTGTTGCTGCTTTTGGAGTGAGGGCAGCTGGGCCCCCAAAGGGGTTGCTTCACCACCTAAAACCCTTCGACAGAAGCAACTGCTGAATCTGCTGAAAAGAAACTTGAGATAACTATGGCAAAGAGAATAGCAGTATGATTGTCATGAGTTGCTTCATGCCTCCAAGGACGCGCCACAATCACATCAGTAGCAGCAGCAGTGGTTTATTCAACAGCTCGTAACATCGGCTCATGTTTCCGCTCCATCATGTTTAAAAGAACAGCATTCACCCCAAGACTCATGCAGCCTCACTACGTCAATTCGCTTAAGCATGCAGCACCATCACCTGGAAACGCAATCCCAGCCTGGATGGGTTCTATCAGCCAACTTCGTCTCTCGCTTTCGAATTTTCGTCAATCCGACACATCGCGCTCACAACTGGGAAAAGATCGCTGTGAGGCCAGGCTCAGCTGCAGCGTCGCAGACTAGATTGTGTTTTTCAGACCGCCGGCGTTTTCCCACTCCAAAATCATACCGGGAGGTTCATGGCCGCCAGAATCTACACGACACCGACGAACGTTCAGGTTTGTGCGCTGTCCAGGGCTTGCAGCCGCATGCGCATGCGGATCTGTTCCTCAATGTCCTCGGTAAACATGAGTGCCAATGCCAAAAGTATGCGACACCCGGGCACAGCCAGTGTTGCACGAAGGTCGTCATCGAATGCCGGAACAGTGATGCAATGTCACCCATAGTGCTCGGCAGGGGACCAGCACAGCGAATATGTCACGCGTAGCCACATTGGCACAGAAGAAACGAGAAATGCAGACGAAAGGCCCCGGAGACGAGAGAAAACGAGAAGTGGAGACCCGATGGTGCTGATGATGATGATGATGGTGGTGGTCACGGTGATTGTGTTGGTGATGGTCACTGGGCCGCGAGGCCAGCATCAAGCATCATTGGCATAGCATGAGCCCCTACAGCCCTACAGCAATGGTGTGCAGCAAGACGCCGCAAAACCTCTTCCTGGCCACCGACAACAGCCCAACCGATGCTCGTGATGCTGGCCCGGCGGCTCGGAAATCAGTAATGAAACACAGTAAATGTACACAGCCGCACACACAGAGCGTGCAAACAACTCTCAAAACGAGGACTGTCCCAAGACCACACGACGTGGACAACGATGCTGCTATCCTTGTTGCCTGCCTAAACCAGCTGGCCTTAAGGGCGCATTTAGCTACAATACCGGACCACCTCCAAAGTTCTGTCAAATAGTATGGTCTCAGGAACGCGTTTTTTGGGGCGTCACAGCTTCTGGCGTGGTGTCCGAAATATCTCGGTACCAGACCAAGGACCTTCGCGAGCTCCTTGTGGACCAGGAATGCGCCGGCGAAGCCCTGCAGTAGGGGCCATTCAAACATGCGAGCGAAGGCATTGAAGTGAGAAGAAATATGGACTAGACAGCCATGTCTTTAGGACTTTGAGGCGTCGCATTGAGATTTGCATTGGCAGCATCTGCATGGCCACCTCCTCCTTTGTCTCAAACATGCAAGCCCGGAGTTTGCAGATGAATTTATCCGAATATCCTTCTTCAAACTTCGATTCACTCGACTTATGCGTCCAACCACTCACGTGCATCTCCGAGCGAAGGACTATGAGCATCGTATTGGAAACTCACGATACTGCCACTCATTCGTGTCAACTGGCCTCATCAAGGTCCCAGAGGTAGACAGACGACACGCCACCCTGAAAGCAAATGGCTGGCTTCACCGCGACTGTCGACGTTCCACTGTACGCAGCTTCTGCTCGAGCTTTGCAAGTTCTGGACCTCGTAGTAGCTCATGACATAGGCCTCGAACACCTGCCCAGCAGGAGACTGCTGCGAAGCCCTCCAAATCCACAGAAGGGCTCCACCTCATTGAAGCTTTGCTCAAGTCGCTTCAGGCGTGCAGACGGCCGGAAGAGTCTCTCCTTCACTGCACAAAGGGAGAACGCAGCGTAGCTGAGAGGCCCAAGGCTGTTAGGGGGACCTCCTCAGCCTCGCCACCAGGAGGCACAGGGATGTACCTCGTTCAAGCTCTTATTGACTGCTAGTGAGCTAGTGTCTGTGACAATGACAAATGCCGCCTGTCAGACCAGGGAGATCGATGCGAGCCTTCAAAGCATTTGCATTTACCCCACGACACCAAGCCACCTTCTTCTTGAAGAGGCACTTGCCTCCATCAAAGTTGTAGTCGGATGCAACAAAGTACCTGCCATGAAGGACAGCAGGCAAAACCTGTCCCGCAGTTCCCTTCGCTCTTGAGGTGCTCATGATCCAGCCTGTTTGCTTTGAGATCTTCCTTCACCTTCAAGGGTCTGGAGACGTATGGAGCCAGACCAGACTCCTGTCGCAAGCTCTATGTCTGCCAACCAAAGCACGACGACCAATGCAAGCATCGCTGCACGATCTTTTCCCGTTGCAAAGAACGCGGGCCGTGAAGAGGACTCCGCTCGCTGGCACCAACCTGTTGCGCACATCGTGCTCGGACACAAGGGCGACAGATTTGCATTGGCTTCCACCACGAGCAGCATCCGCAACAGGACTTTTTATCTCTGCCTTGCTACACATGGCAGATTTTCCGCAGCTTTGGTGCTAGGCACCTTGAGACGATTAAGATTCGGGACATTGCTGGTGACCGGCCAAAGAACGAAATTTTTCTGAGTGTGATGCACTCACACGACGAACTCGGTCACACATGTATGTTGCCCGAACCGCTGCAGCATTTAGCACCACTGCTCGACAGCGATGCATCAACCCTGACAGCGAGCACTACATCCCTCAAGCCCTCAGAGCTGATCGCGCAATCGGCACGAAACTGACTCATCTCTTTTGATGCAGGTGGTTCGGAGATGAATGAAACAAACTTTTCAACACGAATGCCTCCGCAAGAAGTGTTTCCTGGGCTGCACGCATGCTGAAGTGTCACTGAAACCGATGCGCAATATTTGTTGCCTTCAACGAATTACCTGACACACTGATTCCTCAATTTTCTAACTGGACAGCCCGAGAACTAGTGCATGTTTACATGACCTCCAAAACAAGCTGAACCGCACAGATTCCGGTAATTATGCGATTATGTGATCCAGCCATCCCTGCAAATGGCTGCACCATCCTGCAACCTCCTAGCTTACCTCCCAGAACATCCCAGAACCATGTGCAGAAAGCTGGCAGAAAGTCTGCTCAAACGCGGCAAGCATCAATCTCCTGGTTTCGCCACTTTCCGGTTGGAAGCTTCTGCATGAACAGCATGAGTTGCTGGAAGTCCATCTGCTTAAGCTGCGGAGACCAGTAAATGAGGAACACTGCACAGACCTTGGCAGGGGGATTCTCCTAACTCCATGCCCCCATGAGCCCTGGAGACAGACCTTCGTATCATGCAACTCCGGGGAGCAGACATAGACGTGGAACGAGGAGAACCCCTCCAGTGGCTCCGCGATGTATGTATCCCAGAGTCGTATGACACATGGGAACGGGAACTCGCGAAGAAGCAAGCAGTTCATCCACCTGAAAGAAAGCTGCAAGAAGTCCAAGCCTTGCGACTCCAGATGCTCGTACAATTTCTGGTCTATTCGATGGACAATCTCCTTTAGTTTCGCAACCATCTGCTGTATTCCTGGCTGGCCTGCGGTGTAGTGGTCTTGAATGTCACTGAGGAACTTGGTGAGACACCAGTACGCACCGGCCTCTACGGAGTCCAGCATTTCGTCAGTGGCAGCATCCACATCAATGTCTTCAGGCAAGCAGTCCAGTTTTGATGCCAGCAGAACCACTACAAAAGGTGTCGCAATGTCATTGATCCCCTGCACATAGCCACTGGCCGGGTGCCGTATGGACCAAATAAAAAGAACCCGCTCCAGGAGTTGATGTATCCGCAGGTGACTGAAGATGGGTAAGCCCGGCGATGTCCGCGGGATGTCTACACGAATTTGCCGCAGAATCGCCGCTGAATCCACATCACTCAGACCATCTTGGCCTGACTCGATGGGCGCGTAATGTCTCCTCCGAAGCTCTTCATACTCTTCTCGCTTTTTCTGCAATCCTGGCCCTTGTCTGTCTTTGACTGGGGGCAAGTATCCCAGCAACATCTGCCAAGCTTCTGCCCGAATTTTCGGATCCTCCTCCGGTGCGCCGGACCATAGGAGCTCCCGCAAGGCGGCCAAGTCGACACTGGGCAAGGACAGCCTCAGAGCTCAGTGCAGTGCTGTACCGGAAGAAACTGCACAAAGCCTGACTGAATCCGGGCACGGCCAGCTATGGCGGAGCTCCTGCTCCCGCTTAGGACAAGGAAAGGTGGACAGAACAAAGTTTGTTGTTTTTGGTATTTGTTCTTTCGAAAGGTCGATTTTTTGTCAGTGCTCTTGCTTTTTCCTTGGTAAAACACTATGTTCCTTACATTTTGGACGGAGTTCGTGCCTACCTTCCTACCTTCCTTCCTCTCCAAGATTTGGAAGGAATCAAGGGTTTCCCAGGAAAGCCTAAGAACATGGCACGAAATCCGTCCAAAATGTAAGGAATATCGGACCAAAAAAAGACCCCAAGAAATAGGCCCTCAAAACGAAACGGAGGAGGCTCAGCAGAGAAACGAAAAGGGTGAAGTTGAGAGCTGGGAGGCACCAAGCAGGAAGCAGCTAAGATGTTCGGTAGATGCAGGCAGCGTGCAAGCTCAACGACCCCCAAGAATCATTCTGCCAAGCAGCAACCGATAAAATTTCTGCGCTTTTGCAGAGCGCCCAGTGTCAGAGGCAGAGGAGGAGGAGACACTCTGCATCGATCAGCGTGGCAGTGCCTTTAGAATCACTGCCGATTTAAACGCCTGGGTTGCTTTGCTGTTTTGAAGGCTTCTGCACACGAAGGTCTGCACGATCCACAATCCAGCAGGCTTGACTCGAAAAGTAGCTTCTTTGTGACCGCGGCAAAACATGCTTTAAATGTTAAGAGGCTAGCCGAGAAAGCTGCGTGATGGCAGGTGCACAACATTCGAGCTCAAAGCTGAGACTTTGCCTACACCAGAGACACCCAAAGCAATGCTGAAAGCCAAATTTCTTCTATACATCTCCTGACAAGATCATGTCCACTCCAGGCTCCACAGCACAGGACAGCGCCGAGCCTTCGCTTCTCGACCCACCATGACGCAAACGCCAAGCAGCAAAGTCGGCTGTTGCATTCCAAGCAGTGTTTGGAGATATCTAGTCCGGCTAAGCTATCAAGCCTTATTGGCAAGCAAGGGTTGGAATGAGATCTGTTGGCTGCCTGTGCTTTGGGGTTGGCTTTTCTGAGAAAGAACGAGAAGCCAAACACCACCGGATGAACTCGTACTTGTACCACAAGGACCAAGTTAAAAAGCAGATGCTGCTAGGCCGTCCACTGGTGCGTTCCTTCCCTCGAGCCAGGACAGGTATGCAGGCGACTCCCATGCAAACACCAGCTGTCCAGGAGCGGAGAGATGGCAACGAGGGAATCGATATCCGCTTCCAGGTCCTTCGACAGCGCAAAGAAGACACGCTGCGAGAAGCTTTTCTGCTGTCTCCTTCGGCGGAAGCCTCTGCAAAAGCCCCAGAGCTGCGGCTGTGAGCCTTTGCTGCTGGCGCTTATCCTTTGCATGCTCCGGACAAGAGATCCCAGCACAAGAGACACGTGCGATTGTGGCGGGAACCTCTGACAAGGCAGAAGACACCAAGGCAGTCAGTCCAGCCATGGCAGGGCTCCTTGAACATCATGGGCGGGGCCAGGAGGACACAGCAGGACACAGCGGGACACGTGGGCTTCTGCTTTCTGGGGGCTCTGCACTGCTTCAGTGCGTGTGTGTTTGTGTGTGTCCTGGTGTGCTTGGACCTTGAGATGGGACCCGTGGCTGACCGATGGAAAGGTTCTGGGTCTAGTTTTGAACGCTGGTTGTCGCTAGATGGTTTTGCCTTTAAGACTCGTGTTGCTGCACACTGAAATCAAAACGATCTTGTCTTCGCAGGAATGCTATTCCGAGTGTCTGCTTGAGAGCAATAGCAGCTGCAACGGCCCCATTGGCAGGTTGTGCCTGCTGAAACGGAACGCCAACTCCAGCTGTTTGTGGATAGCTTCTGTTGCATCAGTGCTGCACCACATCCCACCCGCCAAACACGCACAATGGGCTGTTCATTGAGCCAGTATCTACAAAGCCACCCCACAGGGGCAGCAGAAGGGTTGTGCGAAGACGACAGCACCCAAAGCCGAGGCAAGCTTTCCAACATCTTCAGTAGGGCCGAGTAGTAGCACCAGAAACTCGAGACATCATGATCAGTATCACTCAGTATCACCGGTGCCACAGCAAGAAGAAAGATAAGGAGTATCACATACGAACTTCCAGAACGGCGGACGCGAAAGATGCGCAGGGGAAGGGTCCGCGGGGGCGGGAAGAGTACCACCACAGGCCCCACACCACAGGGGGGCGGGGGAGGAAGGGGGGAGGATACCATGGGGTGGGGGGGGTGGCAGCCCTACATCATGTAAAGGTAAACTGATGCCTTCTCCTTGAAATGTCGCTCTTTTTCCTAGCCACGATCTCATCCTCGAGTCCCTCAGAACCTCAAGGGAGTGTCGAGCGCAGCTTCCTGTCACAAAGGACCGCGAGTCTAACCTGCGCAGCCTTACTGTCGAGAAACACAGGCATGCACCTAAGGTGCGCGGCTGCATCTGCGGCCAGATTCAGGCCCTGCTTGAGTCCCATCGGATGGCCTGCGGTAGCTGCGATAGCTGCGCGCATGCGCTCGCTATCGCGAGACTCTGCAGGCTGCCTGGCTTGGAAGCCTTGCTGAGCAGAGCCAAGGGAGTTTCCTTGCCACGGGGCAGAGGTAGGAAAGAGGGCAGCTGTGCAGCACCTCCAGAGCCTGCCTTGTACATGGCATCGAGCTGATCCTGTGATGTTTTTGCTCGCGGGCTGCATGGCAATGCCTGCAACCGGCCTTGACTCCATGCTTTTCGGCCCAGTCTTTGCCCTCCATCGCCTATCACCAAATCGCGATGACGAAAGCAGTCACAAACATTGCGAGTCCACTGATTTTGCGCCATTCAGGCCTGAAGGGCTTCGTCCAGCTGCCTGCGGCTGCACTGTAGCGCACACGAACATGCTCGAGCATGCTGCGCTTGCTGCATATATCAGAGCTGAGAGGATGACTTCATCACAGCCACATATTCAGCCACGGTCTTATCGTGCTGCTTCTGCCGCGGCACAGGCAGCGTTCGCTGCAAATCGTCCAGGTCAGGTTTCATTCGCACGGCATGGCGGATCATGGTGGGCGACTTGGCACTTAAGCGGTGCCTTCAGGCGAGCCTTCTCGTTGATGGACCCAAGCCGCGACTGGCAGACAGGTCAGGATTCGGCTTTCTGAGGTAAATACACCTCTTTGGAAGCTGCAAGCAACTTGCAAGCATGCAGCGCAGGCAGTGTGCACACACGCTTTCTCAGCGCTACTTGGTCCGGCTCAGGCGCAAGAACCAAGCCCAGTTCATGGCCTCGCAGGAATGCGGCTACACGAGTTGACAACAAACCCGCACAGTGCCATGCAGTCCGTGAGTCACCAGCATAAGCTGCAGCAGCTCCCGATAGCTGCAGCATCAACCTACGTCATGTGGCCATGGAAACCAAGAACAAGAAAGCTAACAAGTCTTCCGAAAACAGGCCACGGCTGCATTTTGTCGGACACATGCCGTCTGGAGGCGACTAGAAGAGACCTTGCCAGTCGAGTAAGACACGTACGGTACATACAGTGCAGAAGATCTTCACAACTTGGCGAAAACTTCAGCTCTGCACATGCAGAAGGCACCATTCAGTATCCGTGACAGTCCGAAGACCCAAAGGGTACAAGCTCGCAGGACCTTGATCACCTGAGCCATGGCTGTCAAAGAGCCAGTTTCTATGATTGCTTTTGCTGATACTGAGCCCCAGACAGCTTCCGCTTTGGCTCGTCGGGCCAGTGCCAGGAGTCTCAATGGAACAGATGAAGCCTGTTCAATTGGGACAGCTGACAGGTCAGCTGCACAGATAAGCACTGTTCGGTCTTTACCGCATACATGTGCCAGCACGGTGCTTGGGCAGTAGTTTTCAGGGTGTGAAAATGGAGAGGAGCAGACGAACAAGCTCACGGCGCAGCTGCATCTACACTCAAACTTCAAAGCTGGAGAGTTGCAAGCCTGGCTCTACAAAAGGAACTATGGTGTGAATCGGAACGAGAACTGCGAGAAGCGAGATGAGCGGCGAATGCTTCAGGATGATCATCTTCTGACTCAGAGAAATGACGGCAGCCCGAATACCTACGCATGCCGTCCTCTGCCATGTACGCAAAGGCAAGCGTGCACCGGCGTGCTTCAAGACCTGGCCTTAGGAGCTGAGGACAGAAAACTTGCAAGAAATGGCGCTGCTGCTGAGAAGCTGAGAAGCAGTGCCCCGGCGCCAAGCAGCTCCAATTCGCCAAAGTTTGTAAGGCGTGATGCCCTAGCCTCGCAAGAATGTTTAGTCAAGTTTAGTCGAACCCCTGCGTGCATGGACCAAGCTTGGTGCCTTTCACGCCACATATGTGGACGATGTCCCCAAAGGCGGCAGCCAAAGATCTCATTGCCATTCAAAGCGACCAAGTTATGCGCGATTCGCAGAGCAAAACTTGTAGCACAAGGCACATACAGGGCGTCTGCCCAGAAGTATCCAAGGGAACGGGCAAACCTGATACACGAGGCAACATGCAGTCTCCACCCCCGGCATGTCCAAATGGCACAGCACTCGGAACGGGGCATGGCAGTGGCGCTCGCATAGGCGCGAGGTGAAAGCACCAGCACCTTCATGGCCACTGAATCACACGCACTAACGCCACCAGACCAGCAGAACGTTTGCTGTGAACTCCTCAGATGTCTTACGAGTCATACCTCTCGAGATGCGCACCTCGGACTCTTCGTCATCGCACTGTTTACGGCGCTGCTTCGACCTGAATGTGGGAAACTGCGCAGGAATGTCTTCTTTCTACTACCCCACCGTCCAACCGTTTCGCTGCAAGAGAGAAACGCATGCACGAAGACGTTGCTGCATGAAACAGCCCTTGCCAATCCTCTATCTTTCTCGGACCCCACAATTTCCAGCTCAAACCTTCAGCTTGATGTATCCTCTGGGCTCTAACCACAGCTCTCGAGGAGCCCTCTTCTCCCCCATCGCCCCGCCGGATTGTCCGCATATGTCTACGTGCGTGTCCGGTCCGGGCATAAGCTTGTCCCTGCGTCTGTCTGTCAATCTGCCTGCGCAAAATGCGAGCGGCGATTGAGCTTGTCCAGCTTTCACGATCTCACCCTGGCAATGTGCATCTTTTGGAAACCCAGCCAGTCCTGGTCTATGTGGACCTACGTCTGCCGCTTGCAAGAGATTGTAAAAGCTGGCCATCCTGCCAACTTGCCAAGCAGCTTGACCTCTGGGCCCGGTTGGAAAGCCAGTTGCCAGGGCACTTCTTGGAGGAGAGGGGCCGCATCTGCTCTGAAAGCCTGGGCTCCCTGCGCGCCGCTCGCGGCAGATGCTGAGACCTCATAACGCTTAAGAGAAGCAGTATAGAAGCAAAAGCTGGCTCTGTGGCCAATAGAAGCGGCCCGCATTGAGGCTTCGGCACAGCATGTGTACAGAGAATGACAGAGATCGACTATGTCCTGCAGAGGCTCGTGAGAAGCTACCCGCAAAATTGTGGTCTGTCAACAACAGCGACCTCCGCAGCGTCCGCGTCCTTGAAGGACCTGACTGTTGCCTCCCGTTGAACACACATGTTG